GTTCTGTTGCATACTATTATCTGTATCAACAAGTCTAATAAATAATTGGTAGTAACACAATAATTTCAAACAAATTTGATTACCATAATGTGTTTATTAATTGCCTTAAATGTCCTACATGTGTGTGAAATCCCGTTTTCCTTTCGTGGGGCATGGGGCGAACACATTTTGTGTGTCCGTTTCACTGATCCGGTCTTTAACAGGCAAGTAGTTGATCAGACTTCTTTGCCCTGCGTGATCCAAAAATTTTTTTGTTTCCCTGAAATTCCCAGGACCTCTCGCTCTTAACGCAATGCTAGGCTCGTCTTAAAAAATAGACGTAACTAAAATCTGTCCGCAACATAGGTACTGTTGATCATCTTTAAATATTCAATGTTAAGATTACAACCTCACTCAATAGAGATAGTCGATTTTCCAATATCTAACATCGATATGCAACACTGTGTATGTATGTGCACTACAAAATATAAACAGGAAGGGATCGACCGGAAGGGAGCAATCAAGTCGCCAGGTGCATAACTATTTAGATTACTTACGACTGGCTGAACACGAAAATACGTTGGAGATTAGAAAAAAAATTCAATATCGGCCTGATACCCAACTAAAGGACAAAATATATTTTGAATTTTTTTTAAGATAGAAGACGACAGACAAGCATAGGTTCACTTGATGGAAGGTGAAATAGTCATATAACATCTAAACAAGATGCGCTGTCGACCTTTTTTGACTTTTGATATTCGGAAATCCACAAACCGAAACGTGAATTACCAACGGCTTTTTCATCTATGGACGGTGGTTCGTGACCCGGTCATTTCAATATTGCAATCACCCAAATAATATCCAGATATACAGATGAAGTCTAACGTGTTTCAAAATAGTAGGTATAAGTTTATTAGAAAATGTAGGACCCGGTGGGAATCGAATCCACGACCCGTTGTTATTAGCAGTACATTGCTACCATTACACCAACGAGCCCGTCGATGATTAACGATAACAATACAATTAAAAATCCAATCATTCTAAATATGCGATACTTACCTAGTTTAAAACAAAGATAAAGTAAAGAAAATCTTTCCTAGTGACCCATAGGCATTTATTTAGGCTTATCACGGCAGATAAAGACTTTTTCTGTACCTGTACGCAACGGAGTTTAATGCGATTTTTACTAGTGAGAGTGATTCAAGAGAAAGGTTTTTTATATACAACGTTCACAGTTTTTCTGTAGTGTATTCAGTATCAGCATTGCACCCGAGCGAAGGCGGGGTGGGTCGCTAGTATGTACTAAAACTATATGACGATAGAAAATAAACATTCGCACAGGTAGCGTGGGCGTCTGGCAATCAGCCCCGTGCCTCCGGAAGCCGACACGCAGCCCACCCTCGGTACAGACCGCTGCTGACATTCCGTGATACGCGCACATGAATACCAAACGACGAATAAATTACTACGTCAAGTATCTAGCATTCCAGAATTACCATCCGTGGTTGATGTAATGAGATGAATAAATTTCAATGGTTGTAAGGCTTTTTTTATGATAAAAGAAAACAAATAAACATGTGTTCACTTCATGGAAGGTAAAATACTCCAGCTATACATAAAATCTCCATAGGATGCAAAAGAAACCAAAAAACAAAAGAACTAAAGAACCCAAAGCACAATTTCAAGTCAATATTCCTTTATTTACGTAGGTAACGAGTGACACTTATGAACGTCTTACAAATTAAAAAGTAAAGAATCTAATTAAATGTATATTTACCACCAGTTTTGAAATCAAGGGGGTAATCTTACGAAAATAATTGGCAAGAAACTTGCCGCCTCTCAGTCTTCTTGTACTTTCAGTGCACTACATATTATTTCTAATTAGAGCGGGTTCCTCCAAACCCGACACCCCCCCATGTCTATCTCTGTCGTTCATAGAACCCACGTGTGAATTGATTTACGGCGTAAGCCCAATCGACAAACAGCGGAAGCCGGTCGTAAACCAAACAGATTATACACAGAACGCACTGTATGAACTTTCAGTTTATTTTGGCCATAATTTATTAGGGCATGTGAAAGGAAATCTAAGATCACACGCGTATATAATCCTTTAAGAACATATCCTTTAGTAAAATTGTAATTATACTGTTTTGATACATGGAGTATTTTTATCATTACTATCCTAAAATACTGTCTATAGTTTACGCGAGTAGGTTAAATAAAACACGTTTAAATAAAACACTTTAACGGTTTAAAACGCGATGTATTAAAAATTTGAACTTTTGACTTCGGCCCGACGTTTTGGATGCTTTGCAGCAGCCGTGGTCACGGGGAGACCTCTGTTCTGTCTGTCTTAATTTAAATATTACTTTTCTACTGAGTAACTATATCCGGGGAGGATAGATCAATGGTTTTTTTATATTATTTTTATTTAACTTGGAGGAATCGAATCTTTACCGACGCCCCCGCCGGGCCACATATACAGTGGCGGTGGGACTGTGGGGTCAGCCAGCTTACGTACTACCCTACTAAACCTACAAGAACTTGACAGGCGCAGGCAGTAGCTGTTAGATAGACCGATGTTGCTTTATGTAAAAGCAACTATAAAATTACTAAATTTATACACGTGTTATACGCTGGTAAGTATAGCTATAAATTATTTTACACAGTTTATTTTACTACAACCCGACGTTTTGGACGCCTATCAGCAGCCATGAACATATGAGGACTACACTACACAGCTTTCGTAAACTGCCGTCGCGACTTTATAAGTGCTTTATTTAAATGTTTACACTCACAGACAGGCAATGCTCAACGTCATATAATGTAATTTCTAGTCCAGTTGGAAAAGCATCTTTAGATCTCTTTATATACCGAGGGTATATTGATAGCAGCAATGACGTCACAAGTTCCAGTGCCACTAACCTTGACAGACAATGCACATGACAGCTCACTTCCTCTAGAGTTCAGCGGAAACGCATCCACGCCAGATGCGTCTGCTTATATTGTCATTAACGCGAATATCGCAATGTTTAACTATATCATCGTATGAAAGATTTTATGTTTAATTTGGTTGACTAGAAACAGCAGAATTTGACATAATATTTAAACCACTGATTCGGAACTAGCATTTAAGTATGCGTAAAGTACCTAAGCTTAAAAAGTCAGCTTCAAAATTGGTATATGTATAGTTTTTTGTTTACAAAAACAGTTTCGATGGTTTAAAAGGCAAAATAAAAAAAATATTTCCCAAAATAATTATTTCCACGGGTGATCTGTGCTACTGGTCCGAATTTAAAAAATGAGGAAGTCGTTAGGATATAAAACGTCACGTTACGACCAATAGGAGTAAAAAGTAGTGGTAAATGTGCATCTTTGAGGATTTCCGAACGCTTCGAGGCTTCAAGATACGTCGATTCCTCTATAAACCGTTTAACAAAATGACCCCGACAATATATTATGTCTATCTTTTAAGATTAACTTGCAAGACGTTATTAGTAACCGCTACAATTGATAAAGGTGATGTTCGCAAAAACAAATTTTGGTGCTCAAAATAACTCCCCTACGTGGACGAAGTTGCTGGCGCAGCTAGTAATAACTACAAGAGTATAATGACGTCAATGATAAAATAACATTACGCTATTTCACTATAGTATTAATAATGCGTTGATTAATATAATGTACACACGTAAACTTTGTAGCTCGTTATCAGAGGAAGTTGTAACATTAACGGTTAACACAGATTGTTTTAAGCGAAACGTGGACGAAATAACACTTACTAAGTAACAAATGGCTTCTATCATTAACAGTCAAACACGCCGAATTTATTTATTGCTAGCTATACAAACTTATTTATTATATAAATATTTGGCCAAAATTTGATTACCACAAAACGGTTCTTGTAATCTTCAAATATATGTATAATATACTGACATAGACCTTTTTTTTAGATAATTTGAAGAAGAAAAACTAGTTTTATACATATTTTATTAATTTCTTGAACCGTTTACGCAGTGCACACAACGCAAACTGCAAAATATTATTTTTTTTTTTTTTTTTTTCACATTTCTCACTGTTTCTGTGCTTTATTGGTCACAGTAGATGTTTTATATAGAAATCTTCCCCATAAATATAAATGCTCTAAAAAAGACATATTTTTTTTAATTCGAACCAGTAGTTTCTGAGATTAGCGCATTTAAACAAACAAACTCTTTAGCTTTATAATATTCGTATAGATTAGCCGTCCGATAATCGACAATCGAAAGCACTCACAACGCTTTAACTGATATTTTCCACATCGCTTAGCATAAATGCATAAGTGGTATTGCCATATCAAAATGGGCTTACACCACATCCCTTTTCCCTAATTATGCGCCGGTATTTATGAAATATGGCATATGATTAACTTTTATGATGCAAACCGTTTTATAGGTCAAATTCTCATTCAATATAACGTTGCCTAACACTCGCAAGTGTCTCAATTTTCCTTACACCCAGTGCTAACAGGAATGAGATGGATACAATTATGGAATTGTTGTAAGACCAACAGAAAATGATTTAAGTGGAGTGTTCAATTTGGATGATAACATAATTAAGTGAAATCGATAGGGCAATAACGCATTGTCTGTTTCACTGATCGGTTCATTTACAGGCAAGTAGGTGTTCAGACTTCTGTGCCCTGTCCGAACGAAGCAATCTATTGCTTCCCTGGGATTTGAACCTAGGACCTCTCGCGCTAAAAGCTAAGCTATACGTTTAACCTTTTGCAGCCGCGGTCGATTACATTATTAATGACTTTTGAATATTATTTCAGAACTTCTGATAGAAAATAGTGCGTACAGTATTCCTATAAACTACACAGTTTGGATCTGGCCTAAGTTAGATTTTTATTGTGAAATAACGTCTTTCACCGGTTTCAAACGTCGTTTCCAATGATATAAGGTGTTCTAAGATCAACATAAACTCCTTAATTCGCAACTAAATAATAACAACATATTTTAAATAATTTTTATCATAGTGGCCTAATCTAGCAGCATTTGTACCTCGTCTGCGGGCTTTGTGGGCGTGATGGCGACCGTCTCGTTGAAGCAGAGGCACGCACAGTAGTGTCTGTTTGCGTCCACGTCCGTCAACACGGACACGTAGAACCTCGGCTCTGATCGCTCCGTTGAAAGCGCCCATCCTTGCGGCTGACAGAACTGGGGACAGAGGAAACAAGATAGAGGATACAACAACCAAGACCTGAGGTCCTAAAAGGAGTTAATAGTATAAAGAGGATTTTGAAACTGTACGATTTTTTTTAATGCACCTTACAAGCATGTACAGTATAGAAGTACCCACGTCCTATATTGCGCACGTGTCGTCGGCACCAAGAATGACAGTACTATGTACAATTTAATATTAATACTTAATATATAAAGGCATGCAACGCTTTGTCCGCTTATCCCCTGTGATAGCCAAATTAAAAGATAAATCATTGAGTTAACTCCCGCAGGCACCCAGCGTCTTGTCTTTTAGATATTACAAAATGGCGGCCAATTTTACATATACATTTAAAGACTAATTCCCTAGCATTCCTTAGCATTCCCTTTTTATTATAAAAATTTCAATTTCAAAGCAACACAATTAAGTACGTAGATTTAAATAACTGCAGCCCCAATTTAACGCGATGTATTTAATTGTAAGTACATATTAGGAGCATACCCATTCTATGCCGTCGTGGAAGGGTGTGTCGTCCCAATTAATTTCCGGGAATCGTTGTAGAATAACGCCGTTGCTCAGACCGCCCCCTGAAAAATATTGCATATATAATTAAACTATCAAAGAAGAAAAATATAAGTAAGCATCTGCATAATATAAGTATAGACCTAGTAAAAACCTTATACCTATTGAGAAGCCAAAAGGATATGGACGTTGTTTTATGACCCGGTACTATTTTTCGGTATCGCTGGTCGATTTTCGGTTAGGCTTAAGGGACTCAGAAATAAATACCGTTCTAAATATGATAGGACCAACCTATGAAATACTAGTTATTATAATGTAATTAATTATCAATATAGAAATTGCCTTTCTTGAGGTCTTCATCCTTTTGTATTGACTTAGAAGCCACATAACGGTATTTTCCAATATAATAAATATATCGTGTCTAATACTTAAGCTGCCGTGTATTAGGAAAAATTTCACGCCTGGGTCACGGCCTTGACACTCCGAGCCAACTGGAGCGAAGAAGCCCAACTAATGACACCGCCCTGGCTGACTAGCGAGTCGGTGACAAAAATAACTACCTAATTGGAGAATGCTTCGCAGAAGTAGTGTATGAACATTATGACACAGTTCACGCCCAATACCTAGATTTATGAAGTGCAGTCGATATCGTTACAATAAGGATTTTTAATTTTCTTACTTAAACAACATCCTAATATTATCCAGCAGAATTCGAATGCAAGTCCTTTTTCAATGCAAAACAATATAACGCGAGTACATTTTATAAAGTTATTTGTAAACCTTTTGCATTCAATGATTTCGTGCCTAAAATATGACTGACAAATCATTGCCTTAAAAAACGGCCTTCACAACGTTTGGCTAAATCGTTTTTTTTTGTCTACATATTATTACGTCAACGATAACAGTACAATGATGTATATAAACGGACAAAGACATACGAAGAAAAGACATACGTAGGGTAGAATTGTTTGAATACACTTCTCCCTAGATTTGCATAACAGGCATTCTATCGATCTATCTGAGACCTGGGTTCGAAACCTAAAAATTATATGTATAGACATGACAACATACTTATAATTTATATCATGTATGTTTTCAATCTCTAACATCACAGTACGTGCCCAAACTCTCCCAAAAGACCCTTCCTTGTCTTTGCTCTTATCTGTAATCGATCAACAAAACTAATCGTCCCTGATCTAAAGGACCGTACTTTTATGCAGTTGGACAAACCCCCTATCACTTATTAAGTTACTTCGTTGCCATGGCAACAGCTCAACGGACCGCACGCCAATCACTAATATAGAGTTCATTGACCTTTACATCTCAACCCCTCTAGATAATGTAGTGGCGTCATTAAATTAAACTTATACCGTTACATCATTCTCCTAGGCATATAGACACAAAACTTATATTTATGTTTCAACGGTAATAATAATGTTATACAAAAAGATGTGGCTTAGACTATTTTAGTAAAAAAAAGCCGCTACTTAGTTTGTAATGAAGGTAGGTACCCTAACTTTTATTTCACATCATTTCTTCATTTACGACTTGGCTGTTCCCATTATAAATACAACATAAGTTTATAACTCTTATAGCAGAGTAATTGCTGTTACTAGATTTGAAGTACATTAGAAGGGCAACACAGGTACAGTCGAAGGCCGTAACAGGTTGAGTCGACATCTTTCTAAACACGAGCCAATCTCGTTTAGAGTTTGCTGGTTATCGACCCGCTAATTACTGGTCACCTCTCACTTTCATTAGCTGCTTCGTAAGAGGTATTCGATTCGGAAGCTGGCTGTCAAGATTGAGACAAAAACCTAAATATTTAAATAAAACACTTTCAACGGTTTAAAACGCGATATGTATTAGTTTAATTATTAAATTAGTTTAACTAATATAAATATCGTGTAAAAAACCGTTAAATTGACTTATTTAAATAAGTACTACTCGCGTAAACTACAAACAGTAGTAAACTTTTAATCATTGTGTCTATAAAGACACTGTTAGTTTTTAAAAATCTCTAAAAGAAGAAAATGTTTTTTAAGTAATAGTGATAACGATTTTAATTTTGTGTAGAAATACTAGCAAGAATTCTAGTACTAATCTAATATGTACCTGAAACTGTATAAATATATATGCCAAATATAATATGTGACACTATGAAGAAACGAAAATACGCAACTATGGTACAAAAATAGTGCTGATTCTTTTAGCAAATTGTTTTGTGCACTCTGTAAAAAAAAAGATGACTATACAAGATATGAGTACAAAGCTACCTAGATGAAATCTAATCAGGACACTTCCACTCTCGATACACTTTTCCTTTCCAAAATTGATAAACCGAACCCTGAAACTGCTATGCCAACTTTGCGCCTTTTTATTTATTATAATTTTTTTTGATAAAGTTAAAAATTTACTTCTAGATAGTAGTAACACTAAATAATGTCTATAGTTTACGCGAGTAGTACACATTTAAATAATAGTCTCCCCGTGACCACGGCTGCTGCAAAGCATCAGAAACGTCGGGCCGAAGTTAAAAATCATTTCCAAATAAGTTTAACTAATATATCGCGTTTTAAACCGTTAAAGTGTTTTATTTAAATAGTAGTAACACTTTTTTAACAATGAATACCAGAGGGCTACGCAAAAAGTAGAACAAATATCCAACCATAGTGTTCTACTAGGCCATCGTCTTGATTTCTCAATAGCTACCCTTCAGGATAAAATTTAAGGAATTTGCACATTTTTTATTCGTGAACTTGCTACCAAAAGCGTTACTTACGATTAAAATTGAATTCTCAGTAGAACTACATATAAACTGTGAAAACTTTTTATTTATTGGTAAAATAATTTTCTTTCTAAGTTGGCTGTGATTTTTCTTAAAGAAAAGAAAGTTACGATAATTTTTTACGTGCTCAAGACTGTCGTGATATGCCCGACATAGTTTTACAGCATATTGCGTAAGATACGTGACATAAATCAATTAGCACAAGTCTCACTTTCCAACTGACCTTTGAGGTCAGTCACACGACATCGTAAACATGGATGATTCATTGACGTTATCTCTTTGTTTGTTTGTCTGTCTAGTCTTTTGCTTATCGACTTTGCGGGTTATATTATCAATATGTATCATGTTAACAGAACTTAAATACAAAAGCTTCCTATTAAAATCTGGCAGGTTCCTAGTCCTCACATAATGGTTCGGTAAAGATAAGAAGTTTCTGATAACTCTTCACTTGTTATTCTGGCCCAAGTTAATGCACTATATTTCGTCTAACTCCAGATTCAATAACTGATGTCAGTTGTGACCTCATATTATTACGTCCTGACGATAAATACAGAGTAACCCACAATTTATTTCTCAGGTGGTACATAGTAATTTTCTCACACTACATTAAAAATTTGTAACATTGAATCCAATCTTAGAATAATTTTTATATATCTACTCACATATATATTTCATTTTGGTAATGTTTAATACTTAAAAACGTTTCACACTTTGGATCAATATAAATACTAATATTACAAAGCTGAAGAGTTTGTTTGTCAGAATGCACTTCTCTCAGGAACTACTGTTTGAATTGAAAAAAATCTTTTTGTATTGATGAAGGAAGAAAAAACAGGAAAAAATAAGCAAATTTATCAAACCCTTTCTGCACTGTGATAACAGTTTAAAGCAAAAATAGTATAAAATATATATAGTATATATCTATCTCTTAAGATTATCTCATGAGAACTGTTTTTATGAAAATCAAATTTTCAGCTAGTACACATATGTATAAATCAGGTAAACATAACCTACAAAGATAGTTATTATAACTGCATGTGATAAGGTCTTCAACAAGATTATTTAAACAAAAATTTATATAATTATTAATATAGGTGAAACAATAATATAGTGAAAAATAATGAAGAAGGAAAATAGTAAGGAAGAAGCAGAAATAGTATTGTATAAATTGACCTACATTTGTATATATTTTGTAAGGTCCACTGGAGGGTAGATTTTTTAGCAAAATCTAACCTTGTTATGATTTAACATTGTCTGAATCTGGGTCTAAAGCAGTAGAACAATTTAGTGTTCTTTAGACTATTAATAAAAAAAATATGAAACCTTTGTTTATTTATATTTAATACATACATACAGACAATAAGCATAGTTGATTTTAATACTTTGAAACTTATTTATTACTAAATGTTTTTAATCATTATTCTTAATCAACTACTTAACTACCTACATCATAAAACCAATTTGTTATAGATACCATTACAAGAAGTAAGGACTTCTTGTAATGGTATCTATAACTTGACTACATAAAATGAAAGTAAAAATAATTTGTTTTAAATAATATTAATGCTATACAAAATATTAAAAACAACATAAGAAATTACTAGGTCCTTTACTTATTTGGAAGTGGACAATAAAATTGAATCAATCATATCACTACTTCTATCAAGCTATATTCAAGGCTATATTGGTTAGACTGTTCAACACAATACAATGACTTTTAAGTGATACTATACTTATAATTCAGTCATAGCCTTACCAGATAAAATATTAATGTATATGAAATGTAACTAAACTAATTTACTTGTCAACATAAAAACTACAAACTATCATTTCAATACAAGATTTTGTAAAACTATGAGGTTTATTCTAGATGGATATGTGGATTCTGGTTGGAATACTCTCACTCATACCTTATAGAGAAACCATATCTATGTATTATTTGGAGGTAAGTCTTCATAATGAGCACCATAATGCACTTACTTTCTTTTTCGTGGTCAAAGCCCACAATCACAAAGTAATCGACGAGCCTGGACATGGCAAGTCTACCGCATCATCCGTGACACACCACACAAGAACACTAAAATTATTGGATTACACAAAACCAAACACATCGTACATTTACTTCACATAATTTGTGCAAAATCACACACCCACTACACGTAACGAACCGTGAACTTTGCAGAATATAAACAATACTTTCATTTAACGCGAAGGATTAAAAAATACAGTCGAACAGTTTACAATCCGATCCGATATGAGGTTATACACTGAGCAAATCCGTTATAAGATTTATTGTTAAAAAAAAATCACTTGTAAGAACGCTGTACTTTTAACAATATTTTGTTAAAATCATTGAGTGAATTGCGTAGACATTGATAAAATTAATTTATTACGGAAAATACGCCATGGAACTCGTTCGTTTCTTTTCGCCCTTCTGTTAGACTGACACACACAACTGACATTTTGTCTTTTGATGTTAATGTCGAATTTCATGTTTTCGCCTTGACATTAACAATACTTTGATCCAGAGCTTATTGCAATTTTCAAAGACTATAAAGAAAATAGACTATTTCTACTACATTGTTTTTTTTTAAATTGCTGGTGGTTATATGGTTTGGCCATTAAATATTATTAAAAAAAAAATATTATGGGTGAGTATTTTGTTCTTTTACCAAAAAGCTACCAAAGCTGTCAAGTACAATATACTATTCGACATATGACAATTGGCAAATACGTTTGACTTTGATTTATTATCATATAAAACAACATGTCTTAAATTCTAAATAAATATTTTACTTCGTGCATACATATTCTACAAGAACTGAAATTTTTAATTATGTCTCACTCTACCAGTGAATCTGTTCCGGGCTTAAAGCAAAAGAAAGTGTTCAAAATAATAGTTTTGGGCGATTCTGGAGTTGGTAAGACGTGTCTTACTTTTCGCTTTTGCGAAGGTCAGTTTTTAGATAAATCTGAAGCCACTATTGGTGTGGACTTCCGAGAAAGAACTGTGAAAATTCGTAATGAAGATATAAAGGTATATTTCAAGCATTATACACATTAATTTAAATAACCAGGTACGCAATTAGTAAAACATTGTATTATAAAATTCAAATTGTACTTTTTTAGCTACAGTTGTGGGACACCGCTGGTCAAGAACGGTTTCGAAAATCGATGGTTCAGCACTACTACCGGAATGTACATGCTGTTATGATTGTTTACGATGTGACTAAACCAGAAACATTTCATGTAAGACCAATTTTTTGTTATCAAAAAACAATGGAATATTGATAATCTGTATTCTAAATTACATTAAAGTAAGAAAGTACATACTTTTAAAGTACCTTTAGAAATTGGCCTTTTGTAATTTTGTATTTTTAGAAGTGGTGTTATGTTAAACATTAATTATTCTATGTATATCAGTCTATAGCTAGTTGGATGCAAGAAATTGAGTCACATGGGTTGATGAGTGCTCCGCGAGTGCTTGTTGGCAATAAGTGTGACTGCGGTACACCGGAATCTAGACTTGCCACAACGTATGCACAGAGGCTGGCTGATAAATATGGAATGCCTGTTAGTATTGTGCACTCTATCAATACAAAAAAAGATAAAGTATTTTTTTTTAATAGAGAAGTGAAGTGTTCACATTTTACTCTTGTTGGTATTGATATCTATGAGTACGGCTTATCTCAATAGTATACATTTATCTTAAATACTGTTTTCATAATAATATGCAACTATATACTAGTTTTATTTAATTTGTGATATAAAATTTAAAGATTTATATTTACATTAATACTTATTGAGGTAAATTGTTACAATTTTAAAATAATAGCTAATAATTGTATGTTATTATTGTTTCAGCTCTTTGAAACATCAGCACTTCTAGATTCTGAATGTGACAATGTTGAGTCAATATTCATGACACTGGCTCACAAGTTATACTCAAAGCAGCCATTGCGAGTTATAAGCATTGAAGTAAGTTTCCTGATAAATAATTCATGATAATAGAATTCGGGATAAGAAGGCAATAGGACTTATTTAGGACTGACAAGTTGAAGTATAGTGTGCCAAATATTTAAAAAATTTTTTATAATATTAACAGATACAAAAATGTATTCAAATTGTCTTTTTTTCTCTCTTAAATGTATAATAGGTAAACAAGAAACAACAAGATGCTTTATTCTCTAGACCCTTAAATCTTGAAATAGGTTTTTTTTTTTTGAAGGGATTTATTTACACTTGACTTGTGTAAGAACCTCCTCCATCACTCTCCAATTCTCTCCAGACTTCTTTTTTTTGTCCACGAAATTGGAAATCAAACCTGACATTAGATGCCTTTAGACCGATACGGTTCTTACATATATAAATAAAGATTTTTTTTTTTCAGGGAGAACTAGGTCCCAGGTGTGTAACACTAACTAGGCAAAAACGACCCGCTCGCAACGATACGTGTCTATGTAGTTAGGTCTGTCTGTATGTTTCTTAGTCTACAGGGTGTTTGTTATTACATTTACCGTGTGTTCAAAAATTTGATTCCAATTAAATATTTTTACAAATTCGAAAAATACATAAAGTTATGGATATTGCAGCTAAATTCACTTAGCTGGATTTGCTTTCAATTTGGAAATTTATCAATTCAAATGAAAACAGATTCTTGGAACATCTGTTTTCATTTTTTCAGTTCCTAAATTAAATAATTGTGTTTTTGATATTGAAGCAATTATGTGCCAAAAAAGTAAAAAGGGGTAAAAGGTAAGGCTAAACTTTTAATGTTGGCGTTTTGTATAGGTAAGTTAAATAGGTATGAAGAACTAAATCAAAGGGATTAGCCCCTTGCTTTAGTTTTTTCTTTAATGTTAACATTTGGGTACAGGTATATATGAACAAAAAAGAAAATAATTACATTAGAAAACTAAATGACTAAAGTCAAGAAATTGATGAACCAATATTTTCTTTCATAAGATTAAAATTGTCTAAGCTGTTGTAAGTAGTGAAGTCGCAGCTGACCTTGGGAGACAGCAATATATTATATAAATACTAAATAAGTAGTTTATAAAATAGTAATTTAGAGTACAGAGATTTAAAATAAATATTTTGTTAGTCTTTTAAGAGGCTCTAGCAAGTAAGTGAAGAAAGTATTTTAATAAGTTATGTTTTATCTCTTGTATTCTATCGCTATTACATATTGCGCCAAATTCATATATCATATTGTAACTTTGATCTTTCTGGCAGCTATAAGTTTTATATTATTGTAATCTTAGTTTTAATATTTGAATGACAATCTTAGCTACTTTTAACTATTATGATCTCTATATAGACGTAAGAGAGTGATTTATTTAATATTTCATAAATATAAAATGTATAAATTAGTTCATTACAACATTTTTTTCTTTACATAGTACTTTTAATAGTTGGTATTGTATGGTATTATTTTGTGTTACAATGGCATTTATATTTTACAACGGATTCGTTACTTACAAGATCTAACTTTATCTATATTTACCCAGTGTGTAATAATTCTATGAGACATTATTAAAGTTATATTTTCTAAATTCTTTTTTTAATAGAAAAATACCTCTATTGTTCTTGGAAAGAGAATACATAAAAAGATTGTTCACATAAATTGATTATTTAATAGAGTACAAAAATGGCAAGTCTGTTAAAACTTTTCATTAAATAATTCAAAGACTCCGTGGCGCAACGGTAGCGCGTCTGACTCCAGATCAGAAGGTTGCGTGTTCAAATCACGTCGGGGTCAAAATTAAATATTTTATTTTTACCTAAATAAATATATTAAGAAAAACAGTAATATTTTTAAGCATCAATTTATTTTTCTATGTATCTGTACATTGTAACAAATTCATAACAAGAAAAGTGAGAGCTCAATAAGGTACAGAGTTTGAGATATTTATTTAATTATAATGTGAAACACCTTTGTCAACAAGTTCCAAAGTCAATATATTAGCAAAAGTTTTAGACTCAAATTTGTGCGAATTTTTAATTAAAATATGTCATTATACAAGAAAATTTAAAGCTAGACAATTTAATATTGACATAGTGGAAAAATGTTGAACGAACTAAAAAAAATGACGATCACTTTGAAAATATAAAGTATTACATATATGACTTGTAATGAGTTGATTTAAAACTTTCAGAGGATTGTATTGCCAGGATAATAAAATACATAGTTATAATTTAAATATCACATGTAATTTCAATTGATAGACAAAACCATGACAAAACTGTGACCACGAAAGAAGGCCACATTAAAATAGTGAACTAAATATAACTATAAAATATTAAATAAAGGAGTTATTTCAAACACTAATTAATAAAACGATTGGACTACAACAACTAAAGCCGAAAGTATACTTCAATGTGAGATTTTCAGCTAAGAAACATTTACAGCACTTGGTTGGTCCGGCAATGGTACATTTACTTCTACAGTAGATTTAAATTTTGCAAAAGCAAAAATGTGCTGTTTTTAAAAATGTTGCCTCCTAAACAAACAATTTTTAACGGTGTTAATCGTGATTAATATTGGTTATGCTTGGCAGTAGCCGTGGCACCACATCCTGCTAAACTCAACATCGTTTCACGTTTTAAAGCATTAAAAATATTTTTTTACTGTGTACTATTCCCGTAAACTTCACATATTACATAAAGTTGCCATTTCGTGAAATCTGCTTGTATTTTTTTATTTGCCAATCAATGCTGTCTCTTACAGAGGTATACAGTCAGCTATGTATATTACGCAGCCAAGTAAATAAAACATCGAGATTACATTAGCTATATTTACCGAGGGGGTTAAGCATTAACATTTAAGTGTGTTATATGCAGTTTCACTAATTCCTAAGAAAAAACGTTTAACACTCATGGCTTCCAGCACATTCATACATTAATCACAACAAATGGTTATATCCACTATAGTAATACTATTCACGATATATCTAGGTTTCCACAGGTAGACCTATCTTGTCGCATATAAGTCAAGTTCATTCGACGTTTCTGCATTTGTAGTAGTTGTGGAATAAAAACGCGCGTTGAAGAAGAATATATATCGCAATTTAATCAGTTTTATACCATGTTGGAATCTCAATTGAGAAATATATTAAATTGAAAAAAGTGCGCTGTCCACCAAGGACCTATAAATACATTGTATTACTACCACAAATATATAAACATCTTCCACTGACCACTGACTTAATTGTAGTTTTGATAGACTGTACACTGTATGGAGTAAAACAGCATTCTTAACATATAAGTACTTCTGCATCAATGTAATCCACGGTTTTTCTAATCGATCAATCCACAATTTTTGAGTCTAGCATGTTTTGATATACTCGAGTCCTATTCAAAAAGTAGATAGGATAAATATTATTACAATTTCACTAACAAAACTACATACAGTTACATCAAATAGATCTTAAATGCAAAATACTTTCTTAGTGAAATTGCATCTTCTACAAATGTTCGATAAATATCCAATTAACAATTTTACTATAAAGTAACGTTATAATAATATCACTTTCTAATTTCACAACGAGATAACCTTTGCTAAGCTGACACTGATATCAAATAGTTCATTTAAATATTGTATGATAGAAACACATGTTTAATTATTATAGTATTTATTTTTAGGATAATTTTCAATTAAGAGTTTAAAACATATTAGTTCTTGTTATCTATTTCCTATAGAGGTCACACATTTGTGTGTTAGTATGTCACTCATACTGTAACGACTATCTCACTCAGTTAACATGTTCATTGCAGTCACTGAAATGTCTTTGTCTCTCACTTTCAGGCGCAGCACGCTTCACGCGTCACTTGGACGGAAAATTAGTGCTGTCGCCTTCCACGGCGCTACATTTGCATGTAACGCCTTCCCGCGCCTCACATATTCTGCCAGGTGTTAGTTAGGATCATGTTTGTGTCGAGACCTCGAGCGATACGTTCATGGATGCCGTGACTTAGCCACATCATGCGAAGGTTTTCATAGCGTTCCGGGCAGAGGTGGAGCGGGTTACCGCGGCGAAGACCCTAAATTAAAAAAAAAATCTTTATTAAGAAAAACTTTAAACAAATACCAGGTAAGCGTCACTGCATGTAAGTATTGACTTTACCTGGTCAGTCTCTCCATAAGAATCCAAATATGGAGCAGCCAACATAGCCCCGCGTGACGGCGATGGCACGCCCAGGAGAAGTAGTTCACATTCACGAACGCGCAAGAAAATACCCGCGCCTGCACCGCACCAGAGCGCGTGCGCAACCACTGCGCCTACTAACTCCGAACCGGAACCACTGCCACTGCGACTGGTTGACTATAAAGAAACAGATATTTTTTAATACATTTGATACACCTTACATTTTATTGAAATTATATGTATGGATATTCTTAATTTACTTAATTACATATCGAAATTGTCAAAATTTTATAACGAAACAGCACCGATCCATTAAATGTATCTTTTCGAACCTCACCTTCTTAATTTCGATCTGACAACAATAGCTCTGCGAACACAAAATCTGTCCACAGACGAGACACATAGTCGGGTTCTTGCTGTCCTCCCTCTCAGAGTTGGGACATGAGAATTCCGATACTATATTCATCAGCTCTGAGAAATCTTCTGGTAAATTGATCAGCCTGGGAGGATCCCGGGGTTCCAACGCCACCCGCCTCGGTATCAAGCCTTTAAACCAGTTATCTGAATACCCCGCCCACTCCAAGGCCTTTTTCCTTGCTAGAGGAGTATCCAGTAGCTCTTTGAAAGTCGTAGGTAGGTCTAGATACCCGCACATCGTTTCCCAAGTATCTCCATCCGCGACCGTCAGTTCTATGGGCGGGTTGATGTCGCTCAAAAAGTGGAAGAAGAGACAACAGCACCGCAGAAACGCGTGGCACTGTCGCTTGGCCGCTTCCCAGACCTCGAGCTCGTCTACATTATCTATGTCCAGCTCTCCTCGCCTCAATTCCTTGACTAGGGGCAATAGATTCTCTAATTCTGGTCTTCTAACTCGTTCCGCACCTTCCATTGGCTCACTTGTTTTTATATTAACCACTATGAGAGCTCGGGTGATCTGAGCTCTGAAAGCTTGAAGGGTTATCTGCCTGGCTAGATGAGTTGGTCTAGCTGGCCCGGACGCTTTAGAGAACAGAGATGGCGCCGTCAATACTAATGCAACTAGAGTGCTAAAGACGTGGTGCTTCATTGGAGATGTGTTTTCCAAGGTGCCTAATGTACTAAGGGCATGGTGAGATATATGTTTTGGCGATGACCAAACTGTGGGTAGCGCTGCCGTCAGACGAATTATGGATTGGAGAGCATCTCTGTGTCGCGAGGGGAGATCACCTAGTAGCGGTCTCTTCTCCGCTTTTAGGACTGCATGTGTGCTCATAATAGTGTAAGAGGTAGCGCGATATAATGACGCTAGGGACAGCAGGCCACCAGTTTCCGGTTGTCCATTCACAGTTGGCAGCATCTGCAACAGGGATATCTAAGTCAAACACCATGGCTGTTATTCAAGAAAAAATATATTAAATATATATCTAGTCAAAGAACTTTTTGTATATATTTAATATGGAATATGACTGATGTTTGTTTACTTCGGTTATAAATAAATATGAAGTTTAATTAATCAGTACTTACAGTAACAAACTGATCAATCAATTGCTTGCTGGTCTCATTGTATTCGGGCAGCTGGTTCTCAAATTGCACCAGGAAGTGATGAGGCAGAAGATTCTCCGCGTGCGTGGTCACGTAAACTTCAGCTTCATCAGCGCTTTCCTCCTCGGGTTCCGATGATAGCGCGCCTACGCTGCGAGCGCGAGCTCTGCAGTGCATTTCTTCACAGTACTCCGTACAAAGGTGGACTGATGCTGAGCAGACCTGAAATTACACATAGCGGTTACAGTAAAACACATAAAGCATCGCACATATATCGGTTTTAAACCTTAATGTAGGTTAAAAAACAATCATCAATACCTGATGTTTCAACTTCAAAATAAGTTGTGCTGCATCAGCAAAAGTCTCTTCAGTGAGAGGGGGTGGGTTTCCGGGTGGGAGGGGCGGCGCGGGCAACAATGGGAGAGCTGTGTTGCAGAGCCTTTCGCATAGCGGACAGAGGTATTCCTTCTTTTCAACATCAAAGGCTGCCGGTTGACGAATGCGGTACGGTCTGGAAGAATTAAGATTATACATTTAAGGTGGGATTTCAAAAGAAAAAAATAAGTTCTAAATTAAATCAGTATATATATAATACCCTGAATCATATACCGCTTAATAACACTATAGATTACCTCAGCTTTTCCTTATCGAGCACACCGTCGACGTACTTCCTCCAGCATCGTGCATGTAGAGCGTGACCGCAGCACGAGACGTGGGGCTGCGATCCGATACCGGCCGGAAGTTCTGCAAAGCCCCATTGGTCCGTCGCCCCTAAGAGCTCTGGGGGCGGTGTGCGGGCTAACACGCGGGACTGTTGTACGAACGCGACCAGTACCAGCGGTTCAGTCATAGATTCCACTCGCCCCTAATACATTACAAAAATTGTAAAACTGTCAATAATATACTGCATACACCTGATACGCGCACATATATATGTCTACCATAGGAAATTTGCGTTCTTACCTGTTCTTGACACATGATGCAGACTCTGGGTGGATCACTTACACCACCTCCCCACACGCCCAGGGCGGAACCACGATATAGTGACACCAGGTCTTGGGTCTGTTCTTCTTCAGTAGCCTAAAAAATGTTATCACTTTTAATGCTATATAAACGTTGATGTTGCAGAATTAAACAGTATGTATGTATGTATATATTAGTTAAAGTTATTTGAAAATGATTACAAACTTCGGCCCGATGTTTCGGATGCTTTGCAGCAGCGGTGGTCAGTGTCGGTGGCAGTTAAAGTGTTTTATTTAAATGTGTACTACTCGTGTAAACTATAGACAGATGTATATAGATTTAATCATTTATCAAGTTACTGATTTTTTGTAATAATAAATTCTTACTGTCAATATCTGAGAAACTAAGAAGGTTGTACAGATTTTCTTAAACTAAGAAAATTTCCTCAGTCTCACCTCGGTGGTAGTTTCCTCAAAAAGTAAAGAGTTATTCGTTATGAACTTGTTCATCTGCGCTTGCATCTGAGCCATCACCTTTGCCCTCCTCTCCGCTGCTAGTTTCGCACGACGTGCTTTCTCTTTAAAAAATGATTTACATTAATTAAATAAATAGCCTTTATGATATTATTTATATAAAAAAATATGGAACATTTTTCTGTCCATAAATAAAACCTTGGTTTAAACGCGATATATTAGTTAAATTTATGCTTTGCAGCAGCCGTGGTCACGGGGAGACTCCCCGTGACCACGGCCGTGCAACATCCGAAACGTCGGGCCGAAGTTAAAAATCATTTTCAAATAAGTTTAACTAATATATCGCGTTTTTAAACCGTTAAAGTGTTTTATTTAAATGTGTACTACTCGCGTAAACTATAGACTATTTTTCTGTCCACTGAAATGTTTGCATTAATTAATAACAGTAACTACTCTACATCGTCTCCACTTAGGTCTCGAAACTCACCAGCAGCTTCGGCAGGGGGCGTCTCGTCATTTTCAACTTCCATTTTGTCTCCATCGCCAATTTCGTCAGCCTGACCAAGCAGGGTCCTAAAATCAAAATTTAATAAATACAAGGTATGTGTCCGTTATAATAATAATAAATACGCGAGTAGAACATATTTAAATAAAACACTTTTAACCGTTTAAAACGCCATTATTCGTTAAACTTATTTACAAATTATTTTAACTTCGGCCCGACGTTTCGGATGCTCTACAGCAGCCACTGAGATAAATTGTATGTTTAACTAATACATTTTGCGTTTTAAACCGTTAAAAAAGGTTTATTTAAACAAATTGCATAACGAACTTACCTCATCTTAGCTAGAAGCCACGTGGCGAGCGCCCGATGAGCATCGACCCTAGGGCTGTGCGATAATTCTTGCAGCAGCTCAAGGAGGCCGGCACGCGCTGCGCTTTCGGCGAACGCCAGAAACTCATAGTGACCGGACTCTTCGTCTCGTAGCGCGTATCCGATGAGGTGCAGGGCCTACCAAGAGAAAGTAACTTTAATAATTACGTTCACTCACGACTCATTATACTTAATATAACTTGTTAAGTCAATGAGTAGAATTTTAATTTTTCAATTAGAAATTTTAAAACGTCCTTATCAAAATCTTGTGTCGTAAAAAACAAAATACTATATGCTATATTTTTCTTTATTAAAAATCGAACTTAATTATTTTCTTTCAAAAAAATTCTATAAATATATACCTTATGCACTTGCGGCTCTGAAAAGGATCTCGCGCGCAGATCTATAGCACGTTCAAGCACGCATTTCAACACGTGAAGCGCGCCGTCGCACTGCAGGAGGTTCGCGAGAAGACGGAACGGCGGCGTTAACTTGGGTAGCGGTGGAGGCGGACAGCATTCTGGTAAATCTGTCGATACATTTCTACATTAGTCCGACTTTTTGAAAGTTATCAAAGACGTTTGCCGTACTCTATAAAACATTATATAAAGTAATTAAAAATAGTAAATAAATAAAGAGGTAATTTGTTTTTAATAGTTTGAAAAAGCATTTTTTTAACTATTACGTATTAGTTAAACTAAGTAATAGTAAATAAAAAACTGATTGTATGAACAGATACTGGAAGAGAACATACTTGCTGCCTTTCTCCTATTTCTCTGTTCTTCCTCACTCCTAGACAGCTCCTCTCTAGTGTAGTGGTAGAAGAAAGCGTCATACTCGTCGTAGAGGTGGGGTTTGAGCTTGTACAAGCCTCGGTTGTTGCTGCTCATTGGTTTTGTGAAGTCAGCTACTTCGTGGATAACTGCTTCGAGTCCTGTCTCGTGTAGCTGGTCTTCTGGTAGAGATCTAATATAGACGCATCAGAGTAAATTGATCAATTTTTTGTTTTTGTTATATTAGTTGAATTTATTTTTGTATTCTGCTTAAGTTAACTTAAAATAAAAAAAGACAACTACATAGTTGTGATTAAATTACTAACTTCCTGTATGTTTAAGTAATTAACATATTGTTAAAGCACGGTTATTTGGTGACTCGGTTCGAAGGTTCGAACTATTTAACTGTTTTTGGTGCATTCCGTCTTTAGTTTGAATACGTTACAGCCACTATTTACTCACTTGTTGAGGTCAGAATGTGGCATGGGCTTGACGCACAGCATCTGAATAATTTCCTTCTTCGTTCTCTCTTCAGGTGTCACTTCACCAACGCCAGGCACATAGCGAGATCCAACGACTAAAAAAATAGATGTACAAATTAGGGGCATATTAATAGGTAATATGTTCACGTGATAGAATGGGGGGGGGGAGGCAGATATTTTTGTGTCGAGCAACTACTGGATAATATTTTGACTTCATATTACTAGAATATATGATGCCGCGTGAGACAGAGTAGCCTAACTGCAATATTATGACTTAAGTTATTTGTATTTTCATAGTCTTACAAAAGGTTAATCTTCAAGACACCATTTTTACACAAATAATAGTAGAAATTCATTTTCGGCTAAGTTAAGTGCGCATTTTTATTTTCCTCCTTAAAATTGAAAAATATGTTATTAGGCCACTCAGCCTCTAGCAGCCTCATATGTCCTTTTACATTTAAATATTGGCGAAAGAATATATGATTTGTTAGCCGAGAGACAATACTTACTAGTTATCAGTAGAGTAAGGAACTCTTCCACCATGCTAATCGTGTGTCGCAAGGTGTCATCCTCAATCGGTTTCTGTTCAAAGTCGGCAGCGGCCCACTCCAGCAGGTTGAATTTGTTTAGCACATGGATTATAAACTCGTTGCTTTCGATCAGTGACGCGCCGATCTACGAATTGAACAAATATTTTTTTTTTATCTTAACGAGTCAATCAATGTAGGAAACATGAATCTGAAGAAAAAGACTGCTGTATCTTGTAATTGTTTGAGGGTGACATTAATTAAGTCAAATTATAATATTTTGAAATAAAGCGCTTATACGGTTTAAAACGCGAAATATTAACTGCAACAGACATGGAATGGAGGGTACCTTTATAACTTAATTTTTACTTTTAAGTTTATAACAAGGTAGCTGATGACGATAAGCATACCTGCAACATAACGACGTCCCTGTCCAACATCTCAGTACGACACTTGACGTTGTGGTAAAAGAAGAGCTGATTGAGAAGCGCGAACCCGTTACGACGCCACATGCCAGCATGCACTTGCGCGATCATAGCTGCCGTGCGCAGTACTGGCTCTGTAATGTGACATTTCTCTAATAATGATCATTCCACAGATATAAAAAATTCCCATGTTTATTAGGCCAAATGTACATTTAAATACGGCCCGACGTTTCGGCTGCTGCAACGAAACATTGTTGAAACGTAGAGCCGTAGTTAAATAATTTAATAGAAGTTGAATATATTTGACGTTGATTTGACAAGTGAATTATATTGAAGTATCTCCTAGCTTAATTTCAAGTAAATATGAATATAATCTTATTAGACTTACCAATAAGTTCCTCAGGTGTTGGTTTTGGTTTCTCCGGTCTCTCGAACACTCGAATGTGATACGAGAGACCATGCTTATGCAAATGTAGGTGCAGACCGGCAATGAACCGGGATAGAGGCCGATGCACTGACACCGGTTCTTTGGAGACGTCGTATGGTATCACGAATGCACTCTGGCTCCCTAGTTCTGAAAATATACATATAATTATTAGCATCTACGTTATGTCTACTTGTTAGTTAAGCTAAATATGTTTGCATAGGTAATGTAATAATAACAACATCTTATCTCATTAATTTTAGCACGTAAAAAATACCATAGCATTCAGATATATACTGGATCAAAAATAAACTGAGATAAAAAAATATTTTAAATTGTTTAATATTTTTCACATAATGGCACTAATATAGACAAAAAAAAACGACACGGGCAGTACAGGAACCGAAATAATCGATGATGACGTGTAAAACACGATATCTTAATATATTATAGCAACAGCACGGAAGCTGTGATGCCGGTTCAAATCCTGTCCGTGTCGTAATTTGCGCCTTTTATGGTCTATTTGCATAGTGATGACTGTACACACCTCTCGATTGAAGCTCGGGATAACGAAAAGTGTCGGCATAACGGATTAATGCCATGCGATAGGCTGAAGCGCATAGCGCGCGCTCGACGCTGCACCATTCTAGCGCTAACGTAATACTGTGCGCAAGCTTCACGTGTAAGTTGAACGCAGATTCCCATTCCGGTTCATATTCCATGTGTTGCCCGATCTAGGTTAAAATAAAAAAAATGTATTTAACTTTAGCCTGGTAATAGTCCAAAATTTTGTAAAGGACGATTTCCATTTAAAATTCTTTTAGCTTGCCTGACAACTGCACATAAACTTATTACTACACACCTGACGAACAACAGAATCCATGTCCTGCATCATAACCAGCAGATTCAGTAACAATGATAAACCATGAAGGAATCCTTTGCGGAGATCACTGTCGAAGGTGGTCGGCACCGCACCCAAGAGGTACTTTACATCATATAATATGAATTGAGCGCGCTTGAATGCCATAGATAGGTGATTGCGATCAAACTCCAGACGGCCCTGAAAAATTAAATGGATTCTATTACTTAATCTAATCTAAATCTTTAATCCAGTAAAAAACGTTGTATGATTCAAAATGAGCTGTAGGTGTATAGCTAGCAAGCAAATTTTAGCTTAGACGCTGTATATTTTAATATATATTTATGAATGAATTATATCTGGCTGAAAGTACCAAATATAAACTTAAGCTACTATATTTAATCCCGCCTTCGTAAGCTATTTTATGTTTAATCTCGCCTTACCTCAACATTGCAGCGTCTATTGCACTCGCTCACAAAGGTATTCAAGACGACAAACAGCGCATCATGTTTCGCGATGAGATGATGCGCAAGCGTCGGCGTTGGGTACAGCTGAACAGATAGCGATGCAACCGAGAACGAATGGTCGTGGTCATCGCGAATGAAGTCATTGAGCATTGATCCTGTAAATATAAGAAAATATATATATAGCACACTTTTGAACCAAATTGGTATTGGATTTTTTTATTAATTTATATGTCTTATTAAAGTATAAACTTAATTATATGCTTCCGTAATACACCAACTATCATTTATAATATTAGTAGGTAATTCATACAGAAAATCTCCAATAATTACCATAGTTCTTAGTGAAGAGTATAGCCATTGCCTTTTTAGTCGAATAGTCCATTAGGGTAGTAGCAATGAGTAGTCTATGCCATGCTGTTCTGGCAGCTTTCCACATACGGCAATCATTCTGCATCACCCCAGCTGCAACACCCCCGTTGATACCGGGCAGAGAGCCACCACCGAACCCAGCTTCTTCCCCCAAAGCCACCTGGCTAACAGCCAAGCGAAGACTCTGCTCTTGGCTCACGAAATTTTGTAACCTAATAAGAAGTTGCCACTTTTACTGTATCGTTAAAACTATGAAAAAAAATATTCCAGTTAATACTTTTATTACGGACTTAATACATGCTTATTCTTACGTTATGCGTGGGCTTATAATATAAGAATGTATATTTCACTCTCTTAACGATATTAAAGCGTGATATTTTAGATAATAACAAAAATAATTATTATAATATCTTGGCTTCATCATGTCTAAAAAGATTTGAAACCTTTAATATTTTTCACATGTTATTACACACATATAACATTAAAAATCGATTATAAATCGGTTAGATAAAGGCATTCACTTTTTCCGCTTAGAATACCATCCTTAAAACACAAGTGTTAAGGTTGAAATTACATTGGGCGAGAGGTGCATGTATCAATAGGTTGAATTCGACGATGACGTGTAGGACACTGTAGCTCAATGGGTTCAATTTATAATCAATTTTTAAGATTTAGACTATACACAATACAGTTCCTACCAAACTTTTTGGCTGGGCTGAAGTAAGCGCAAGCGCAACCGCCACTTTGCGCATGGTACTATCAATTTTTACCCGATACTTGCTTTTTGCGTTCTGCGCAACGATCCGCGCTAACTTCAGCCCGGCCCAAAAAGTATGGAAAGCACTGTACTTACCAGGTGAGGAGCTTCATGGCGAAGGTCTGGTGGGCGATGACGTGCGCGTGCATCACGAGAACTCGCAGCTCCGGGCCGTGTCGCGACGTGAACCTTTCGAACATCGCGCACCGGCTAAGTGAACATGCTGGCGCTCAACAGCGGGACTTTTTGTCACGTGGATTTTGCTTTGTATGTACTATACACGCAGTCGTACTTTCGTTTGGCAAAGTTTGGAAAAGGCTTTGGGTGTATGGAAAAACATTTGGCAACGGCTCGTCTTAGGATAAAGCGAATATCCAAAGCCAAAATAGGTCGACAGCGCTCTTGCTTAGATGTTATACGGTAGGGGTATTTCTCCTCCCATCAAGTGAACAGTGATTGTCTGTCCTCAATAATTAAAAAAACAACTTTCATTGTATACAATTTTATTGGTTAAAATTCTATTGATCACAGGAATGGCAGTAGGAACTAAATGATCATCAGTAAATAGAAACGAAAAATATAAAAGTAATACTATTAGAAAAATTCAATCAATCCATATGACAAAATGCCCCGCTGTAAAGTAACATATAAACAAAATTGAATAATTGTATCTATCTATGCAAGCCACAACATCAATTTCCATTTTATATGTTTCAACAATATTTATTCAGATATTATCGAAGATAGGTGGAGAATTTACGAAATGAAACGGATAGTAAAGCAAAATTTGGATTTTCATTTTATTACATTTTTTTAAAATCTTGTCCTAAAGTAAGCCCATAATAAAAGTCATGCAAAATGCCTAAGATACTGATATTCAGCTGGCTAACTAAATGACGTCACGTTTCGAAATAAACACCAATACAACTAGAAATTGGCTCACCTGCGAGTCCGCCTCGATTTAAAGCCACAATGAATTAATATAATATGGAAATTAATGTAAATCACAAAAAAAAACATATAAAATGATATTTTTTTTTAAATCAATTATTAGTGATAATAACATGACACTAGTTATCTTTTCATGTACAAATTGTATCAAATTATCAGGTAAGCTTTGCCTATACTGTTTGTACTTATTTGTTATAATTACTGTGTGCTTAAATACGGTCTGTAGTTTACTCGAGTAGCACACATTTAAATAAAACACTAACGGTTTAAAACACTAAATATATTAGGTAAACATATTTACTAATTATTTTAACTACGGCCCGACATATTGCAGCAGTCGTGGTCGCGGGGAGACTAAAGATGAAGGGTATCTTTAATATCAAATTAAAATCTGCTACCCTAGCGCCATCTGTTCAGTCGTAGTTGGTATTTAGCGAAAGTGACCGAGTCCTTGTAGAATTTTCCAAATAAGTTTAACTAATATGTATCGCGTTTTAACCGTTAAAGTTATTTATTAAAATACTGTGTGCCTCTGGATTAATCATATTCTTTTACCATTAATTAAATTATAATCTATTCTTTCTTTTTTTCAACATAGTAGGGGTATTATTAGTTTTGCAAACCTCTGTAAACTTTAGTACTTACATTTCAATATCCGTCTTGAGCTTGTCACAAACTTGGAACGAGTTACATTTGACAAGTGCCCTTCCCTCGCGGTCAATCAGACTGACCAGCTCGACTGAGTCGCGGTGGTTGCACTTCATTACTCGCATCAAAGTGGTTATGACCTAAAATTTACAACACATACAAAAAATTATTTTATTCGATCTCTAGGTCGATGAGTCATATGATGGTTTGAGTTGGAACCCTTTTGTAATAAGTGTAATATAAGTGGAAGAAAATGTCAAGAATGAAATAGAGCTGACATATAATTGGATTGATATGACAAATAAATGTACCATTGTATCCTGTGTCAGTAGTACGCAGCTCACCTATGAAGTTATTCTTTAATAATTATTTTCCTCATAAACAATTGTGGTATATAAGCTTTGGGTTTATAATTATAACAGTAACGAATTCTCATAGTCTATTGCTGACGCAAGCTCTATATAGTGTACTGAACTGCTTGTTCGAAAGGTATCAAACTCACACACATCTTCAAATGCAATTTCAAGGAAAGGAAATTTAGTAGTTTTATATTTTGATAATATTACTAAAGATTGGAACAAATAATAATTTAAAAAAAAACTTAAGAATAGTTTATTTAAAGGTAGAAAAAGAAATAACCTGCTCAAATGTGTGCGTTTCGTCGTTGTAGAGCACGGTACAATAGCAATCCGGCTGATCCAATATTTGTAGGAGATCGCGTTCGGAATCTTTTAATCTGAAGTAATATTTAAATAAAAAGTTAGTAAGTACATTTTTTCTATAAGTTTTTCGATATTCAAATAAGCAAGCTGAAGTTGTATTAGTAAATTTAAATTAAAAATCGATTTTGGATAGAAACAAATTTACGGCACAAGAAGGACTTGAAACGGCATCCACAGCGTTCCGTGCTGTAAGTCTATAACCACAGCATGGAACGCTGTGGATGCCTTCAACTTTTGATACTTGCATCTCTTCACTCTTGCGCAATGTAATTTTAACCTTAACAAAAAGTGAATGCCTTTAATTATTGACTTTAAAGAAAATTACCTAAGATCATTGGGTAGACCAGGGGCGTGGTCAAGCGTGAGTAGTCTGAAGCAGTACGACAGACAGACGGATGCCACGATCTTCATTCGCTCTAACACTTCTGGTTCGGTGGACTGAGCCTCCTCTTTGTCATCTGTTGCCTAGAAAGTAGACATAACTCTTATAATAAGTACGCAAGTTACCACCAGTAGGTTTAGTCTCTTTTAAACACTCAGAAAGAATTTTCAATATAATACACACACATGCACATTAAATTTGTCGTCCAAAAATACCCATGGTTTAAATCTCAGACCTCAGCTACTCTAGTCCAGAACTTGTTGATAGTACAGAGTAGACGATGATTGGAGGATCATTTAGTGGATGGGTTGCGCACAATCAGATGTATAAAACTCCGATGGTGCGCAACCCATCCGACAAAAGTCCTTTTTGTTAAATGTTAGTTCTGAATCCCTCTGTTCTTTTATCTTTGATACAATTATTATTTTCTGACCAGTAATTAATAAACATCAGCTAATAGTTAAACGCAATTTTTAGTGATCTCTTTGCAATTTATTGAACTAGTAACACTGGTCACAATGTAATAAAGATGCAATTAAACATTTATCGGTTAGTATATGATTTAAAAACTATTATTAGTATTAGTATTTACAGATTTTTGACAATTCCAATGAGGTAGGTACTATACCAATCGTATTAACCCTTGCGCTCATTGAAACTTTAAATTAGTATTCACAAATTAGTCTCCAGTTTACCCAATATAGATAATGTTTCAGTTGTTTATCTTATTGCATACACACACGAAGAAAGAAGAAGAATGGAGGAGCATTTATTCGATGGGATGCGCACAATCAGATGCATTATGAACTCCGATTGCGCGCAGCCCATCAAGCAAAAGTCCTCGTTGTTAGTTGTTAGTTCTGAGTCCCTCTGTTCTTTTATCTTAGCTTTATTCAATACAATTATTAAATTCTGACCAGTTATTAATAAACATCAACTAGTAGTTAAATGCAATTTTAATATTTCTCTGCAATTTATCGAGCTCGTAACACTGGTCACAATATAATAAATACAATAATAGGCATTTTTACCCAATAAAGATAAAAGTGTCAATTTTTTATCTTATTGCATACACGTACAAAGAAAGAAGAAGAATGCAGGAGCATTTATTCGATGGGATGCGCACAATCAGATGTATTAGAAACTCCGATTGCGCGCAGCCCATCGCGCAAAAGTCCTCGTTGTTAGTTCTGAGTTCCTCTGGTCTTTTATCTTAGCTTTGATATAAATATTAAATTCTGACCAGTAGTTTCTATGATTATCTATAAACATTAGATATTAGTTAAATGCAATTTTTAGTATTTCTCTGCAAATTATTAAACTCGTAGCACTGGTCACAATATAATAAATATAGTAATATGCATTTTTACCCAATAAAGATAAAAATGTCAATTTTTTATCTTATTGCATACACGTACGAAGAAAGAAGAAGAATGGAGGAGCATTTATTCGATGGGATGCGCACAATCAGATGTATTAGAAACTCCGATTGCGCGCAGCCCATCGCGCAAAAGTCCTCGTTGTTAGTTCTGAGTTCCTCTGGTCTTTTATCTTAGCTTTGATATAAATATTAAATTCTGACCAGTAGTTTCTATGATTATCTATAAACATTAGATATTAGTTAAATGCAATTTTTAGTATTTCTCTGCAAATTATTAAACTCGTAGCACTGGTCACAATATAATAAATATAGTAATATGCATTTTTACCCAATAAAGATAAAAATGTCAATTTTTTATCTTATTGCATACACGTACGAAGAAAGAAGAAGAATGGAGGAGCATTTATTCGATGGGATGCGCACAATCAGATGTATTAGAAACTCCGATTGCGCGCAGCCCATCGCACAAAAGTCCTCGTTGTTAGTTGTGAAGCCACCGTCGCATGTCACCTTTATTGATCCCTATAGAGTTTTATTAAATTTCAACCAGTAATTTTTCTTCTAATTTGTCTGTAATTTTCTAACTTATATGCTGGTCAAAGTTTAATAAACACATAGAATTACCTGAAGAAGTTTAGTACACGTAACGATATAAATCTGATCTTAATATTAAAAAACTATTACATTTTGACCAATCATTTCTATAATTAGTAACAACGACGGTAATTTTTTGCTGATTTTTCAGTAGTTTTGTTACTTATAAGTAACATGGAAATATTTGAACGTGTAGTAAGTACACGCTATTCATATAAATATGGATGAAGTATACCCAATAATAAGGATACATTTTTAATCATATTGCATACACGAAGGAAAAAGAAGAATGAAGGAGCATTTATTCGATGGGATGCGCACAATCAGATGTATTAGAAACTCCGATTGTGCGCAGCCCATCGCGCAAAAGCCCTTGTGTTGTTAGTTCTGAAGCCACCGTCGCTTGTCGCCTTTATTGAACCTTATAGGATTTTATTAAATTTCGACCGGTACCTTTTATGTATTAAAAATTTTTGCTCTCTTTGTCTGTAGTTTTTTAACTTACACACCAGTCAAAATTTAATCAAAGTAGAACACTTTAAAAGAAGGTTAGTACACAATGCAATATAAAATCGGTTAGTATTTAAAAAAATGTAGAGAGGGTTGGAATTAAATCCTATAGTACGATGATTCCGAAGAGATTAACGCGTTTTCCTGTTTACCCACAAGCAGGTACAATAAGAAACATGTAAATATCTATAATACGGATTAATTTAAAACCCTTTTCAACACATTTATAAATAAAACAGTAGATATAAGTAATTAAATTAAAAAACATGATTAACTATAATGCTTTTAGTAAGTACAAGAGGTCATTGACGTGTTTAGTATTTGTGTTAGGTATTATGTTTAAAGACCGTATATTTAAATAAAAAAGTAAGGCAAACTGTTATTTTATATTTATCTATACTTAATATATAAAGCTGAAGAGTTTGTTTGAACGCGCTAATCTCAGGAACTACTGGTTCGAATTCAATAATTATTTTTGTGTTAGAACATTTATCAAGGAAGGCAAGGAAGGAAAACATCGCGCCGTGACTAATATGAGCGAAGAAATAGCGGGAAATGAAATGGGAAAAAATATTCATCTTGCATCGTTGCGTGCGCTGTGAAAACGGTTCAAGAAACCAATACAATATGTATGGACGGATCGTTTCTCTTTAAATGATCTAAAAAAAAGTTCGCGACGCTATATGTCTATCTTTTAATAATAACTTGCAAGAACGACGGGACGCGACCGATGTCGTGGGCAGCTTAAATTTATAAAAATGTAGAGGTTTGCAAAAACAAATTTGGATGCCCAAAATAACTATTCTACGCGGACGAAGTCGCTGACACAGCTAGTACATTATGAACGTAAAGACATTTTGCCGGTTTGAGTTTAATTGATGTCATACTTTCATAGCACAACAATGGAAAGTACTCTAAAATGGCAAAAGTCGTTACGATTGAAATGAAAAACACGAGTCGCTTTATCAAGACGTCAAAACGGTTATCTAAAAAAAGACGCGACCGAAACTAATGCGTTCGTTGCACTTTGTCAAAATACAAAACAAAGGCCGCAGTAGAGTTGCAGGTACACTTTTGGATGCAAATCAGGTGATTTAAAATATACGCACGATACATAAATTTACTTGTTTAATTTTTTACTTCATTTATAGTAACCGAGACATTAGACTGAAATCTCACACTAATTTTCGACCTAAAGAATGAAAAACGTTGCTTTTTAAGACTCAAAAGCACAAACAAGTACCATGTTTCGCGCAATATCAAAAGTTGATCAATATCTGTCCAATGACGACGTGGAATAATAATAATAAAACACTTTATTGCACAAACAAATATAGTAATACTAAATTAATTTACATAAAAGAACTAGTGCAAAGGCGGCCTTATCGCCTATGGCGATTTATTCCGGACAACCTTTGTATAAAGAAAAGGAAACACAATAACAATAAATGAATAAAAGCCATCGAAAATGAGAGAAAGCATGCAATAATTTGTAAATTACAATCAGATCAGTATAGGTAAGATACATGTTTATCAAAAGTTGCGTTAGAATCCAGGTTTTAATTTTATTAATGCTGTTTGTTCTAACCGAGTGTAGTTTGCAGAACGGATCTCTCTTCCATGCCTCTGTGTCACCGCAATCGCAGCACCCCCCACCCCGTGACTGGCCCATTTTGTACTTGTGGTTCCTGTGCGCGGACACCTTGAAGCACTCCACGCATAAAACGCATGTGTTGTCCATTCCTGAAGTCGAAAACCATGTAATTAGGCCTTAAAAAGTCGGCCCACGTCAACACAGACGTTTAGATTCACGTATTGTCTGTAGACGGGTAGTACACATTTAAACAAAATAATTTAAACGGCTTAAACGTGAAATATATTAGTTAAATTATTGATACTTTATTTTAACTACGGCTCGCTGTTTCGGATGCTTTGCAGCCGTGGTCACGTGGAGACTTCGGAGCGTGAGGCCATAGCTAAAATAAATTGTAAATAATTTAACTAATACATATCGCATTTTAAACTGTTAAACCTTGTTTTATGTGATTTTTTTTAATGTGTCATCTTACCACATTCTCTGCAGCTGTACGCAGGCTCGCCCTGCTTGAATACTTTGCCACAGAGCGTCGAACGACGCGGTGGAGGCGGCCTGGAGCTCTCTGTCGCACCCCATACGAACTCCTCCAGCGGCTGAATTAGTAGCTTCGAAGCTAATTCCTCATCGAACGACCAATCTGCAATTTTATTATATGTCTAGTTATAGCTTAGAACTTTGGTTGGCAGGAGCGACTGTCATCAGCATTTAACACTAAGTTTTTATACAAACCTAGACATGTGCGATTGGGCTGCGGCGAATAAATCCTGGGTACGGTGATACGCCAGTGGTCTTGGAAATGTGAGGGCGAGAGCAAACCTTCAGCCATTTTCGACCTCCATAACTCCACCACTGCGTCGCCGCGTGCGGGCAACGTGAACCTGGAACAATATCAAGACCATTGTAAATAAAGACGAAAAATCCCGTATTCCTGAGTGGAATGGGCGAACACATTTATGTGTCTGCTTAAAAAATCGATTTTATTTACTGATCGGACTTCTGAGCCATGCTCGATTGAAACAACCTATTGTTTCCTAACTTCCTTAACCTAAGGTCTTGTTAACTATGTTAAATAGATGTAGCGTAACTAATTCGTCATCGTACCATTTAATTTTTAAGGGCGAGTGTATTTATTTAGTCTGTGCGCTATTTTATGGCCCTTCGCTGAAAAAAAAAAAAGACGATATGTGTAAATTATTTTACTGTTTATAGTAACTGCTATTATGTAAACTTCAATATATTACCAATCATAAAAGTTGAAAATTTTAATAACAGAACTCTTCAAAGCCGGCTGCAATATTTATTTTTCAACTTTCAAGAAAACTGGGGCACTCTCCTCGTTGCGAGAACTATTTAAATACGGCCGTGATCCGATTTAAAAAGTATAAAATTTATTTAATTAGGCGACTACAAGTTTATTAATTCAAACACCATAAATAGGTGAATGAATTTTATTTACATTTTAACAGATGGAATGAGAATTAGTTGGATTCAAATTTACATTTACAAAAAACTTTTTATTCATAATTAAAATTCCTAAGCAAGTAGGTATTTAATTATTAAAGTATGTTATCGATAATGTATTACTGAACTATTTTTTAACGTAACCGGATATTATGGTACCTTTTCTTTTAAATCATAATGCCTAAATTCACATACGTTTAAGAACCTTAGTTGTAACAACAAACAAGCATATACTGTTCCATACAAACTTTCATAGTTGTATTCTTAATTAGTAGTATTTGCGAAAAACTTAAATATTTTGGGTAATAATGTTATATAAGATTAACGTAATCGAAGCGAAACTAAATGATTTCACTTATTTAGAATTAGTCTTAAAGATTGTTTTGCGCAAACGCATCTACTTCCACTATGATATAAGAGTAAATAGTGGTTGATGGTGTCATTTTTATTTATAAATATAATCAGCACCGACGTGAATAAAATGTTTTTGCAATTTATTTGTTTTACTATGTTTGTTTAGAGTCAAAGTATAAGGATTTATCAATTTATTCAAAGTACAGATACATTTTCTAGTCTAAACAAATGACTTGTAATATTATACTGTTTTAGTATCTTTGTGGTTGTTCATTGTTAAGCGAGATTTGGACACTGGCTATTAAAAGTTTTTAATAAATAATTATTAACCCCACTAGCTTTTAAGTTAAAACTAATCACCCGAAAAATGCAGCGGGATTCAAAATACCGGATTGTGGATTCAAACCTTACCAAAAATAGGTAGGCATATCGCTTAAGCTTTATGACGGATTTCAACTATTCCATCGATTAATCCAGAATACGATACATACTACCTATAATTATTTATATGTATTGAGTTTGTTAGTCTGTTCATTTTAAGACACGAGACGGTTATAATAGATTTTGGCAGATTCGCAAATTTCGTCGCTATAAAAATACCCACCCAGTGGGAGGAAACCCACGAAATTAAACTAGTTTGCTAAAGGCACATTCAATTTTTAACTACGTTTTATATTATTTTTTACTACACTTACACTTTATAAAAACTTTTCCTACCTAATAAGAAACGATGTTTATAGGTTTAGTTTATAGGTAGGGAAATTATTTGTGATATGTGGGGATTTTATTTACACTTTCGGCATTTATGCACTTTTTTATTGAAATAGTAATAGTATTGTCCTAGCCTGCTAAATAACAGGAATAATACGTAAAGAACGGTGTTAATAATCCATAAACCCCTAAAATACATAACGACGCAAAACACAAAGCCAGCCAAGGTCGTACCCCAAATGTCCCATATAGGTCACATTTTTATCGGGTCACTTACTCCCAGAGCCTCGTTTTGCAAATAGAGCCTAAACTACTGGATACCCAAAAATACACCTACTCCACAAACAATAAGGTCGACAATGTAATAAAAGCAGGTGTTATTTCCTTCTCGGTCAACGACTTGACATGACGTACCACATGCGCGAAGATTCTTTAATAAACGTAAAAACAAAAGTATTAAACTCGTTGGCTTGCGTTTGTGTTTAGAAAGAACGAGATTTTATTATTTATATTTCTGGTATTATGCTTAAGTGTAGAATAAACGACTCAAGTAGTATTTGTAAAAATAAAAAAATCTCGTCTGCTTCCGGTCGACTGTTGCAAATTTGACACATTTTGTGGAATCGATAATTTAAAAGCTCTGTTATAGATTCGTAAACGTCGGTTTCATAAAGTAGAAATCACCGAGGACGAAAGACCCATTCTAAATGTCATTCCGCGCCTAGCAATTAACTTTCCAAAACGATCCCCAATAAATGCCTACCATTGCTAATACTATATGTTGTATTAGACTTAGTTTATAGCATATTAGGCATTTATTTATAAGGCAAGCAAATGCTTAAATATCAGTAATTATTTATCTATCCAGATGGAAGATTGATAGGTATCAATCCGTCCTTCGTTTCCTAACATTGATATACCCTTAATCAATAACACGGACTCTATCAATTCAAGATGGACACTTGTCTCCTCTTTGCGCATGTCTCTCGATTGATATTTTATCTGTATTCTTAATAAATCAATATGTGCGCGATAGTGGTGCCCCCTACAAAATGGGCGGTGGCTCGCAACTGATAGTAAAATTTACTTGACCAATTCCTTAGGAACCAATTTCGTTTAGCTCTTTTTTCGCCTTGGGCCCAATCCTATCCCCGAAAGAACAACTTCTCTGGTTAATAGAGAAACAAAGAACCTCAGCCTAATGCGCACGAGAGGTTGTTTAACGTCCGTTAAAAAAGCGTTCAAACAGAACATACTATGCATACGTCGGCGGTTTTAAAACGCGACGGATTTTTATCTAGCAGTGTTGCATTTCAACGCATACGCGACGCAATGTTGGGAATAGGCCGTATGAAACTTTTTATTATGCATACGTTCTATTTGTTCTCTCATACGAATTAGGCCTAGGGTTCTTTGTTTCCATAATTGTCATTTAAATCAAAGGACGAAAAGATTAAGTGCCTTTTCTATAAACGGACCCGTTAACAGCTAGAAGTTTCTTTTATAATTTTGGCCCCACCCTATCCCGGGAGCTCAAGTTCGCTGGCTACATAAGGTACTTTGTTACCGAAAATTAAATACGTAAATCAAAGACAGAAACGAGCTTCTGACAGCCACATTTACGACTTGGGCCCTACCCCTACTCCGGGAGTTTAAATTAATGATTATGAGAAGTTCTTTGTTTAAATCAGTTATTTAATACAAAGGGACGAATTGGATGAGTTAACTGCACCTTTTCTTTAGAAATCTGCTGACAGTTTGTCAAGTACGACTTAGCTGTCGCTGTCCTCGAGAGATCATAATGAACTGGTATGTAAAATTCATGGTTTATTTAAATTAAAGGAACGAAGCAGTTTTTTAACTATAGGCCCATCTCAACAAACAGTTAATGGCTTAAAAAATTATCTTGCATTTAAGCTTAAAGTTTTAATTTACTAACAAAGTTTTATGAAATTTTAATTAAACTGAATTCGAAAAGCTATAAAATAATTTAATGCATTTTTTAAAATATATAAAGGTTAAACATATAACAAAGGGTGTGGCAGAACAAAAAGCAGATACATAATAAATTCGCATTATAATAATTATTAAATTAATTAAATGAAGTATTAGCAATTAAAAAGCAATAAATATTGCAAAACTAAAAAGAGAGATCTGAATAATTTATGTAAATGATTAACAAAGGGGACTCACAACTGTTACACCAGTGTACAGCATCGCTGCAGACGTGAAAATGAGAGAAAATCTAGATGATAACGAGGTACCTGGCGCATCGCAGAATCGATCGATCATCATGAACTTGCGCTCTAGTAGACCAAGTAGGCGTTATTAAACTAGGTATATATGCAAAAATCTGCTCCGTGTGCATCGCGCACATCCAGGGAAATAGGTATTTGCCCATCCATCCTGATATTGATCGAGCACCTACTTAACCGTTGCTATACAAGTGGGAAGAACAAAGGACGTGCAGAATCTATTACGCAATAGGAAATTATTATATTTAATTACACAATATGTACGAGTAAGATGCAGACAGAGCTTCGTCAAATAATAGTTAAAGATAAAATGGATATCCGGCTTGAAAGACCAATTTTTTTGGCAAAATTCAGGAAAAACAAAAAGTTCCAAATGTTGACGGCAGTCATACATAGCACATTTGAAAATAAGTTTAGTTAAACAAATTTGTATCGATAAATCGACAGATATAGCAAACAAATACTCAGTAATAAAATTTAACACTTTTCTATTATAATGTCACGATGATCGCTTAATTGTTGTTTACGACACTACAATACAAAAGTAGACGCATATAATACTCACACGTGTTGCTTATCAGCCCGGTGCAACAATGCATTATGTTACATAACGCTTAATACTCGGATTGCATTCAAATTAGGTAACACCTGCAGATACATAACGCACGTAGTGACAATGTATCTAACTCAATTTGCTAATTCAATTGAGATCGTTCTCATATACTTAACTCCCTCGTTTGGATAAAACGTTTTTACCAATCATTTAATAGCTACCTATCACTAATTTTACAGTACTTTAACAAATATCCAAATTAAAGCGCTAATTAGTTTGTTTTATAAATATGTAGGTACGCTTGAAAATTTTCTAGCAGGCTAAAAAGAGAGGAAGTAGTGCTAATCAACAAAAAATGACTCCGCAGCTAGTACGATTAGCAATGGCAGTTGTCGGTTGTAATTCTAGATATTTCGATGTTGCAAATTTAAAGCCAACTTAAGGTTTTAAATTCAATCAGGGGAACTATTTTCGACTTAGTGACTCTAAAGCAATGTAAATCGTAGTAATGTAAATCGTAGTAATCGTTAGTAAGAACGAAATTAGTTGCGTAATCCATATATGTATATTTATTTCAGAATTACCCCTTCGTTAGTAAGACGTTTAGCGTAATGCATATGGGTATATAAGAGAAACTGCGCGCTCACCTGCCGCCATTTTGCACAGATCACAAGCAGGAACATAAAGAATTCGACAATTGAAAGTCCTCGGCGTACTCCCGATAAGTACATCACCTTGAAAACTAGTCTCAGACTATATGTGTACTTCAATTAATATTAAAGCAACGTCCGGGTAATCCTATATGATCTTAATCTCGACGAGTGTGCATTGCGCATGACCGTTTTAACATTTTACTAGCGCATGCGAAAGAAATGTTAATAATAAAAATAACTTTCTATCCTATAAACAATTAAGGACTGTATATGCCCCATTACCCTTCATGCTATTAAAATTCTTCTAGTCGTTTCGGAGCACATCATAAACAACCAGATAATCAAAACGTTTCAGTGTTTTTTTTAATTGTCATGCCAATAGACTTAGTAGAAATGAAAACAATGGTTGAAATACAAAAAATAAAATAGATGTCACAACACCCAAAAGACCAAACACGGCGCGCAATTAACTAGACTTTTCAATGCGGTCTGCATTTCCTAACGACTTCCGCCTTCGTTTTGCTCAGTAGCTTATAACATGTAAGTAATTACGTCATCAGCACGACTCATGCTAACTCAGAAAAGTTTTTTATGATAACTCACCTGTCGGCTGGTATCATGTCGGCTGTTTCGTCTTCCATCGACTCATCACCAACCTCAACTTCTACCTGCACAGGCGGTGGTGAACTCATCTCAGATCACCCGCCTGTCACCAATCTGAAACAGATTCTTTATATACTTTTGTACTTATCTATTAAACCTATAAAATGGTTATAACTTTATTGGTAACATTGTCTGGTACGTCAAAATTACAATAAAAACCCTAATTATTCAGAATTATTTGTTACTGGTTTCCTTTTTTTTTTATAATACCTAAATAAATTTTGTAATTTTCTTTACTTTCTCTTACTGATCCATTTGTTGTCATAACTGCTAAACATAATTGAATACCCATTGCCCTAGTAACAACTACAGTTCCTTTTCTAGTTAAATAAGTAATATTATTCATATATATTCATTATTCTGTAGAATAACAATACTAGACTGTTATTAAGCTAACTTAATATCTTTTATATATTTATAAAATCATGGATTTGTTCATTAAAAGTGATATATATAAAGCCACAAGTATAAAAACTATGTACCTATAACACATATATAATTGACAAATGGCCAACTATGCATAATGCAAAGGTCAAGCATTAAAACATTTACAATACAAATTATATCTTACTCCAATAAAATACAATTACAATGCAAATTACGATTTCTGTATAGTTATAATTGTGTATATAAATGTATTTATCTACTAGTTATAATAATATATGTCTATTTTTAAACTAGAAATCTACAAATAATATTAAACATAGACATAGATATATATCTTAAATTGTATTCTAAAATTGTCTAATTTATCTGCTGCTCTCCTTAAATTAAAATTATTATAAACTTTTTGGCTTAATACACCAATTTATTTATAGGCTTACTTTGTGAAGAGTTATTATTGATACCATGTAACAGAATATATGCATTTACAATGGCAGTTATAACACAATTCTGATTGTGGCCCAATTAGCTGTATGAGTAACAACTTAGCAGTATATTGCTTATTTCTGAAACTTTGATCTGGCGCTTTAATAGACCAAGACATCAAATAATTGGGCACACTCAGCTTGTGCTTATCTTGCCTTAGGGGCTCTAAGGCACTATACTAGGTATCTTATTCTATGCCGCCAGTTATTTAGTTAGTTATGTAGCAGCATACCTCCAAACTTATCATCTATATTAGCTGATAAATACAGTATTTTATTTATGTACAATTGTGATTACTTTCTCTACAATCTAGAACAGATTTCTATTCTATTCTATATTCCAGAAATCCATCACACTCTGGTTTATAGAGGTGGTGGATTCATGAATCCACCACATCTCATGTGATTGTACTATAAGTTTACGTCCACAGATTCATTATTAAGAAAAGGATTTAAAGTAATCCATGAATCCTACATATTTTATATAAATAAAAAAGACAGCAGATAATTTGAACTAATCTAGTCTTTGGTGTCTCCAGTAGAAAATTATGAAATAGACCTTCTAAAATAGTAATTACACATATTTTTATGTCGAAAAGTAAAATGAGAGTGGGGCATAACATTAATAAATATATTAATTATATATTTATAAATATACCTATTTACTTATACACAATCCTAAAATGAATCCTAAAACAAAACAAAAATGAAAAAGAAAATAAGACTATTTCTAAATTATTATTATTTTTTAAATCTATACCAATATTTAAAGCTGAAGAGTTTGTTTATTTGAACCCTGTAATCTCAGGAAGTATGAGCTCGAAATGAAAAATTATTTTTGTGTTGGTTAGAGCATTTATTGAGGAAGGCTTTAGGCTGTTGTTTTACAGTACTTCTATTAGTCACAGCGGGATCCATCTGTGACTATGACTAATGATGGAATTGAATAGAAGTGAAGATACAGAGGGAAATGTACAAAACAGGGGAAATTTTTATCGTTCTGGGTTTCCAAGGCGTATGCTGCAATAATGGTACAAAATACCCAAAAATATGTATGAAAGAATGATCCTCTTTACATGATCTACAAAAAAGTCCACAACACTGTATGTCTATCTCTCAGGATTAACTTGAACGATGGGAAGGGACATAACCGTCGTCGTGGGTAACAGTTAAAATAACTATTCTATGCGAATGAAGTCGCTGGCCCAGCTAGTAATATATATAGGTATACCACATAAATAGAAATTCTAACTTCAAAACTCTTGCTTGAATCTGAATAAATATTAGAGTTATGGAAAGATATCATTTACACAAAATTTTATAATAAGCTTATAAGTTATTGAATATGAACATTTCAAGTAACATGGAATGACATTTGTAAATATTTAAGTTTGCTTTAATAATAAATAACACTGTTTTAATTAATTATAAGCATTAATTTAAAAAATTCTAATTACTTTCAATTTGAAACTATAGTCAATACCATGACTCAATTAGTGAAAGTTCTCTACATTGCCTAGCTCAGTCTCATTGATTTATCTAACAATTGTCAGTTGTCTCTTACAATGAATAAAATTGGTATAATTAAAATAACTAAGTACTTTATTTCACACTTTCTATATTAATCCCAAATAAAGAGGAAGCTATTTATTTGCCATTCCATTTTCATTTTGATGACTACAAAGTTTATTGTCAAACACGAAATTGATAAGAAAGTGTTTTTCGTTCCTTATCTCAAAGCACAGTTTTATTTAAAGAATTTTATATATAAGACAGATATTTTTAAGAAAATTAATTAGTTAAATATCAAAAGAAAACAAAAATTCATTATCACGTAATACGTAGATGACTCTCGATAACAATTTTTTAAGAGACGTTCCAACTTCATTACGTAAATGCATTAAGTATTTTTTATTATTCAGATAACATACGATTATAGTTTAAAGATAGGAGAGCGCATGGAAATTGCGTCGAAATATTGCAACAAAAGAAAATCTCACCTCCGAATTAAAATCGTCAATTCATCCAACAACTTCTTTGTCCACCAATTCTTCGTCACCGACGTTACGTGGTCTACATTTACAATCACAAAATACTTTAATTCTCATTGATTTTTCAAATTAAATTCACAGTATCTTTTTAGTTGTGCACAATTCTCCTTCACTAGTTTCAGCCTTCAAATCCTTCAACAAACCCACTGAAAATTTTGACGTTTCATCGCTGCATGAAACCACCAAATGAGTGCATTGGAAATGATACAATTTTAAATAACTAATGAAGTAATTTTTCAATAGTCTTTATAAAGAATTGAAATAGATTCGTGAATAAACAATTTCAATAGAAAAACTTTTATGAACAGAAAATTTGTATCGTAATCAATAGAAAATTGTAGACTTGACCATAATTGAAAATTGACAATAATACTAGTACGACCACAGAGTATAGATCAATTTAAGGTTTTTTGCGCAGATATAGTATACGGTTTAAATTCGTGTAAAACAACTCCAAGTCAAAGACTAACTTTAACATGGTTTGATTTGATTTATAACATGGTTTGATTTTGTTCAGCATTTCTATCAATTTGTTAAAAGTAAAAAAGTAGTTATAGTGACGTAACTACAGTAGTTAGACATATGGTCTCGGGATGTTTTTACTTATACTAATATAATTGCAAAATCGTCCGATCATTACGTAGCTTTTTTGAATATCGTACGTAACGGGTATTTGTTGGCGCTTTTTTTTTCAAACCAAAAGCACTCATCTATTTCCTTGTACGGATTTTTGTCATAATAAAAGTTTCAAAATTGCTGCAATTAAAAAAATAAAAGAAGTCATGAAACGAATAGACGCGAACACGTGGCAAAAAACAATGTAATTCAACAAGAAAATGAAATGATGAAATTAGATAAGATTATGGATGCTTTCGTTTTCTGTAAGCCAACTCTATACTCAATCTAAAAAAAAAAATTCGGTGAAACATACGATAATAGAATAGATGAGAAAAATATGTGACCAACCTTGCATTTATTTATTTCTAATTATTAACAAACAATCGACTATGTATTTACAGTGAATCTAAAACAATCGGATTATTATTTATTTTCAAGATTTGAGAATCCGATTGGAGGATGTTTTTCCAAAATTTCACCCATTGCTGAAGGATAATAGGCCATGAATTTAAACCTTTCGCCCATTTTCTGGGGGTCAACTAACATATCATATGCAGCTTTTAGCTTTTCTTTGTCTTCTTCTATTTTAATATTCTGTAGTAGGACCTAGAACCAATATTATTACTTAATCAAATTGCACTTCAAATAAAGATCCATTAGGAAAATATTTTCCATTGTAACCCAATTTTGGAACTTCCATAAAACAAAAACACACTTATGTATATAAAAAATTAAACAAATCCTTAGTCACACCTGAAACTTCTCTCTTGCTCCCAAATTTCCTACTTTAATATACCTTTATAAAAAAGGCTATAAATATTTAACATGTAATCACTCATACCTCTAGCCGTATTTGTGCTTGCATTCTCTCTAAAAATTCCTTTTGCTTAACTGGCCCTACAACAATTGCATAGTTATCTTGACCTGGTGCCATAGATGCAGCAACACGTAACTGGCTAAAATCTACATCAGCTGTAAGATCTGATTCGCCTGGATTCTCTAATGGATCAACTACTTTGTGTTTGTGGAAGGCCTGAAAAATATAAAGTCAATTACCAAATTATTGCAACATAGCTTTCACAATGATATAAAAAAAAATAGTTTAACACTTTTGATTCAAGTTTAAAAGAAGAGAAGAGAAAAACAAATGACAGACAAATTAGTTTATATGTTTACCCTGAATGTGTCTCCTTTTTCTCCTTCATGACCATAGTCAGCAATTAAAGCAAGTCCTCCATGTTCATCAACTCTCTGTGCTAACTGACGAGCAATACCTAGGGCTCTAGGGCTAATCTCAAGTTCCATTCTGTCTCCAGCATCTAGTGGTGGCCTCACTAACATTTTGACACTTGGTGTTTCTTCAGCAGAAATCCTATAAAATAGTTTTTGGCTCTCATCTAAATCAATTAAAATTTCTCGCCAGCCTTTTTCCTTCTTCTAAAAATAATTTAAATCGCTTTTACATTAATTTTATAAATAGTTATTGCTAAGTCACTAAAAACCATTGTTTTTTAAACTCACTTCAAATTTATGAATTGGTAAGACATCAAAAAACTCATGTGCTATAAACCATGAGAAATTCTTAGGAACCTTCTTAAGATCGTTGTACCAATAAACTTTTATTCCACTGACAGTTTCACCCTGAAATTTTAAATGGCTGGTTTTTAACATCATCACATACATTAATCTTACTAATAATAATTAATAAACAATATTATTTATCTATTGAGAAAATAATAGGTGCAATGTGAAACATACCTCTCTATTGTGTGGCAATTCAATATCAGTTTCTCTGTGAGTCGCGCATAATTTATTAGCTTGCATTAACTGCATTGTAGCCGATATTTCAACTAGATGTATACTTAATTCATCAGGCTTGTACTTTAATTTATTCAAAACCTGCAAATTATTTAAATCAGTTATAATGTTATTTAGTTTAGTTATAGCTGCCAATATGTTGTAAAATTACCCTTAGAATATCAATCATTAATGTACCATTTCCTGGTCCTAATTCAACAATTTGCAATGGCTTTCCAGGACCCATTTTTTGAGTTTCTGAAAAGAACCATATTGCCATTATTTCACCAAACATTTGACTAATTTCTGGCGAAGTAACAAAATCTCCGTGCTGTCCTATAACATCTTTTTTCGTGTAATATCCTTCGGTAGGATTGGTTATGACGATATGCATGTACTCAGCAACTGATATGGGACCATTGAGCCGAATTTTTTCTTTTATTAGATCGAGAATGCTTGGTGCATCTGCAGGAGAAGGCATTTTGAGGGTCTTTGGGTCCGGTCTTTTGACGACCACATAACCTTTGTTTCTTTTACATAACGGAAACGTAATAGTGGGTCTAAGTAGTCGAAATATATGTCTATAATTCATCGTTGTTTTTCTTCTAATAGTAGATTATCCTATCTGCAAGAATTTCTGTGTATTGTGAACTATATTATTGTATTTGAGAAGAGTAGAAGTATTTTCAATTGTTGACTGTCTGGCTGTCAGTTGTCAGATGTTAATAAAAATATCATGTTGTCAATATTAATATACACCCACGGTTGTCATGCTGTAAATTTTCGAAAATTAATAATAATATTCAAAATACAAACTCCAACATATAATATTTAATTTAAATTAAAAGAAACATAATATATGGGAAATTCTCTATAAGATATAAAAATGTCTCTAAACATGGAAATGTTTAAGTGCACCTCTTAATTTCAGTGTTAATATTCTCATAGAAATAACCTAGTGTGCATTTTGGACCTATGCCACACGTGTTTTTATTTTTATGTTTAAACGATAAATATTTAATTTAATACAATGCCTGAAGAAGAAACAATGGATACAGAGATTAATACTAAGTACAAAGATGGAGTAAATCGTAACGCAAGACTTATAATACGCAATATATCCTTCAAAGCAACAGAAGAGTCTTTAAAAGATCATTTTTCGAAATTCGGTAATGTTGAAGAAGTGAAGTTATTAAAGAAACCCGATGGCCGGCTTGTTGGCTGCGCATTTGTACATTTTACGCACGTTCCGATGGCAAATAAAGCAATAAATGAAACACATAAAAAACCTTTTTTGGGTATGTTATTGAATGATATCACCTATATCTTTTTTTACGGGGCCGTTGTTAATTATTTTTACTTAATTTTAAATACAAAACATTAATGCTATATGGTAAAAAATTTATTTATTCTTTCAGGAAGGCCAATATATGTCTCATGGGCAGTACCAAAAGATAAATATGAAGTGCAGGTACCAAATAAAGACTTTAAGCTTGGGACTGTCAGCTTTTCTTCTGACGGAGAGGAAGAAAATTCAGAGGATAAAGGTAAGTAGTTTTTAAAAATAAAACCTTTAAATTAAAACTTTCAGCAACATAGGTATTTGTTTGCTTATAAGTTTGGTCCAAAATATAATTATTTTTCTAACAGTCTTGAATGTATCTTAAAGATAATAATGACTTACTAAATTTTAGCTGAAAAACCTAAATGGAAGGCTGAAAAACCAAATAAAAAGGTGGAAAAGGTAGAAAAAGAAGACAAAAATAAAGTGAGAATCAATCGCAATGCTCGTCTTATCATCCGGAATGTTTCATTCAAATCTACTGAAGAGTCTTTGAAGGAGCACTTCCAAAGCTATGGAGATATTCAAGAAGTGAAATTGCTGAAAAAACCTGATGGAAAATTAGTAGGCTGTGCTTTTGTACATTTCAAGAATGTACCTATGGCTAAAAAAGCATTATTGAATACAAATATGAAACCATTTTTGGGTATTAATTACTTAAGTATTTATAATAACGAGAAAAAAAATGTGTAATATTCTTTACTTTTAGTCTCTATATCATAGAAAATGATAACATATTCACATTTACTCTATACAACAATATTTAATATAAAATGCTCATTTCCTTGACTTTTGTTGTAAAGAATTTACACTATATTTATGTAGGAATTATTACTGATAGTAATAAATCTAGCCCACACTATAAAATTCAGTCCAATGTTATTAAGCTGACAAATCTGCATCTTGCGTACTGTTTTAACAGCCTAAACCTACAATAATAAAAAAAATAATAAGCTTAGAGTTTAACGATATAAAGAAATGTTGAATTTCAGGCAGGCCTATATCAGTGGATTGGGCGGTTGCCAAGAACAAATATATGCAGCATGTGGTCAATCAGCAAATGGAAATAGAAGAGAATATAAAAAAAGAAGATTCCGATAGTGATGGTGATGAGCAACCTCTTAATATATCTGCAGATGATGTTAAAGATGAAATTAAAAGTAAGCCACTTATCACTAATACATCAATTCAATTATACACACAATGTAACTTCTTGGTCAATTTTTATTTAAGCTACATTAAATATCAATATTATTTCATTCACTATTATAATTATAGGTTTTTATTCCTAAGGTGAATCAGAAAATAGTGATAATGAAGAATCAGATGATGAAAAACCAGATTCCGATTCTGATGACACTGGTGGGGAAGATGATGAAAGTGAAGAAAGCGATGATGAAGAAGACGATGATGAGGATGGTGATGAGAGAAGACTAAAGGATGATGACGAAAACAGTGTCACTAATAGTCAGCCTGAAAGACAAAGGTAATATGTGTGCTAGAATTCGGAAGGAGATGCTATAATACATATAATAAGGCAGTATTTTCTTATAACTCTTTCAAATCTTTTGACTGCGTCACAGAAGTGTTTGAACAGTAGAATGTTTAGAAATAAATATATGAGTGAACAAAAAACAATATCAGAAAATTTTATTTTGCATTTTAAAGCATTAGGTATCTGTTCTTTAAAGCTAAATGATACCTGTATATATATAAATAAACGTATTAAACAGAAATTAAACAAATATATTAATTTTTGACAGGATTAAGCTAAACGATGCTGAAGATGGCTGTACAGTTTTCCTAACCAATGTTCCGTTCAGTGCGGATAATGACCAACTGAAACAGTTTGCTGAGAAAACTGGGCCAGTTAAATATGCTTTAGTTTGTGTAGATAAACTCACTGAACACTCAAAAGGGTCAGCTTTTGTCAAATTTGTGGTAAGTAAAGTATTACTGATTCTCAAATAAATTCACTTGAGCCGACAAGTAAATCTTGGCTATTAAAATGCCTTGATGTAAAAAAAATCGATTATTTAATGTGTATATACTAAATAGAAATTGAATTGCAAGGACTGCAAATTATTGTCATTATATTTTCAGAATAATGATGATGCTACTAGATTCCTTTCATTGTCACCTAATGAGTTGCGCTTAGAAGGACAACTTATGACAGTGAAACCAGCTCTGAAGAGGGAAAATGTCTTGAAAGATAAGAAACAACCTAAAGACAACAGAAACTTATATCTTGTTAAGGAAGGAGGTGAGATACACAACGACACTGACTTAGCTTACCATAGGCTTGTAATAATATTTTCTATATAGTGCTCTTTTTTGGATTATAGATAAAATAATTAAAATTGTTTTATATGGAGTCCTTGGAAAATTAAGAAAATCTCTAAAGTAACTTTCTTGTAAAAATCATAATAACTTAGTAACATATTATATGTTACAGTTGTAGTAGCTGGGACTAAGGCAGCAGTAGGTGTATCAGCATCAGATATGGCGAAGCGACTTGCCTTAGAGAGAAGCAAGACCCAAATGCTGAAGAATTTAAATAGGTAAATGTTTGTTTAACATTTTGAGGCATGCTGTGAGTCTCCTGACTTAAAACAGATCCTATGATGCTGCGCTAGTTATTATAGTATTGGCATGCTTTAAGAACAAAGAGGGAGACCTCTTGACATACAAGGCACGGCCAGCTGCTATTTTACAGCTTAAGGCTGGTACAGGAAAATATTTAAGAAAAATGATCAACTATAATTTTTTTTCTACTGAGTTTCTTACCCTGGACTTCGTAATCTGATACTAGCCACGAGACAAACTTGGTAGTTAATAATAATAACAAAAAGACCCAGGACCTAATCCGTTTTGTTAATACTAATTTAAAATCTATACCTTCATATATTTTCAGATTCGTATCCCGTTATCGCCTCGTGGTGTCAAATCTTACCCCGAATTATACAGACGATACACTACGAAGCCTTTGCAAGCGGTTCTCGAGTAAAACTGCAGTTATTACGGAATGTAGAGTCATGAGAGATCTTAGATCACCCGTGGGAAAAGATGGAAGACATCCGTAAGTACATTTCTAAAATATAAGTTTCGGTAAAACAGACACTAAAATTCTTTATTTATTAAAGATGTTTAGCGGGACTAAAGACAACGCGGACAAGTCGTCCGCGTTGTCAGCAAGGAGAATTTTTTTATACTTCTGTTCCATTTATTTTATTTTTTATGAATTTTAAACTGAAACTCATAGCACATTGTTAGCACAATTTACCATTATTATAAGTGGATTAATGTCTTATGGTGTAAATATGTAAATTTGCAAAAAAACCATGTTTTAATAATAATTCTAAAAATATATATCCTTGTAACATTTCTCTTTCTTCTTTTATAGATCAAAGGGTTACGGTTTTGTAATGTTCATGCGACACGAGGACGCCTTAGGATGTCTAAGGAAACTCAATAACAATCCTGATGTTTTCGACAAAAATAACGTAAGTTTAAAACTTTGATTGCTACTAGCTCTTCCACCTGCTTGATTGTTTCTTAAGAACCATATATTTTTCAGAGACCGATAGTTTCATTTTCAATAGAAGATCGAACGGCGTTGAACGCTAGAAAGAAAAGATTAGAAAAATCAATAGCAAATAATCCAATGGCGAATAAGGACAGTTCTGAAGGAAAAGGCAAAGGGAAGAATAGAAAACGGAAGAGGCCATCTGTACCAGACGAGAGTTATGTCAAAAAGGCAAGATTTGAGAAGAAAGATGGTCAAGTCAACGAGACAGGTGGAAAATTTGTGAAAAAACCTCGGGATAATGAAACTGACGAATTTACGGGTTTAACGGCTAAGGCTGGAGCGCCGCACAAAATTAGAAACAATCATAAACTTAACATGCAAGCACAGGTCCATAGACAAAATGTGAAAATGGAAAAGAAAAAGAGTGGGAAATCTTGGAGGTTGAAAATGGCGGCGCGGGAGAGAATAAAGCAACCTAAACAGAAGATTAATAAAAATAAAACCGGAAAGAGAATTAAAAAGAAGATTAATAATATTAAGGATTTAATACGATGAATAAAAGATTATGAATCTATGTTTTGCGCTTTGTTTGTTTAGAGTGGTGTGGGTTTCTTCCTATTCTAGGGAAGAAACCCACTCCTTATATACCATATTAGTTGTTTCATGTAATAAAAAGTAGTTATAAGTTTAAATAAAACACTAACTTTAAGATTTTTCAAATAAGTTTACCTAATGTATCGCGTTTTAAACCGTTAAAGTGTTTTATTTAAATGTGTATTACTCGCGTAAACTATAGACAGTATTTAAGTAGTTATAAGGGTAAAGAAATACACAATTTCCACCAATCGCGATAGACATATTTAAAAAATCACAAATTTAAAGCTGAAGGAGGTAATAGTGTTGTCTTAAAAATAAATACAAAAATGTTTTACAAATAGTTTATTGTAAAAACATGCTTAAATTTTAAAAAGGTTCTCTATATATGTTAAATTAAATACTATGAAGATACAATCTTTTATGAAACAATATGAAAATCTTAAAGCTATATTGAGTTTGGGTTTTCACTTAACTTATTGCATATATCGAGACGAATAGTCTTTAACATATTAAAATAGATAGGACCCTGTTGATATATTCAATAATGGTAGATTTCATATAAAAGTTTCTCAATATTTGCCAAAAATCGAATTAAAATTAGCCTTAACTTCTACCAATCAGTCGTATGATATTTCTAAACCCACTTTTCAAAATTATATATCTAAATAATTCTTACCTATGCACTATTTTAGATTGATAATCAAAAAGTTTAATAACAATCTGTTGTCATTCTAGGATTTGAGAATTGATTCTTTGGGCCACAAGATACAATATTTCTTCTAATACTTGCACTAAACGTAAAAAAGAATATTAGTCTTTTATAAATAGGGCAAGATGAATCAAAATAATTCGAATTTTCATGAAAAATCAAGAAAAAGTTTCGTCTCGTATCAGAAACGCAGATACCAAATATATAAAAAGTCTGAATTGCTGTAAATAAGGATCTAAAATTGGATAATCGGATATCTTCATGTGTACATTACATGTTTAGTCTTATTATTATAATTTAATAACTATAGCTAAACTTAATAGGGACAAATTTCGTTTAGCGTCGATGAAAAAAAGGGATAAAACAAGCTGTATCGTTATGTATACTGCTAAAGACAATTTCGTAATTATAAAATTGCAGGTTGTATTGCATTTTAGCGACATTTTAAGACATATACAACATACAGTGTATTTTTTCTAACTTGAGAAAAGACAACGAGAAATATGGCCGATGCCAAACCATAGAGGCTCAGTGATGACCTTTTATAGAGGATAGTTGATGCCTCAGATTACTTAGAGAAATTTGTAGACCTTAACACTGAAAATCACATTTATGACGACCTTTTTTTATAGATTTATCAACTGCTCGTATTATCTTGTGGCGTAAAGGCGTCTTCACACGACTTGTATCAGGCGATCGCACGGTTCTTTTGCGCCATGTTTTCGAAAGGGACGTACTTGCGCAGATGTGCTTGCATGAGAGCTATGTATTCGTCACGATGTTTGTTGAAGTGTTGTACGTGAGGTGATCTATCCCAACAGTGCCATGTGCACTGAAAAAAAAAACATTATATTTATTACTGTTTAGATTGAAATAATTAATTTATGGTATATGTTCGAAACATATACCATAAATTCATTTTTACCAAGCATTGTCACTTACTTATATAAAAATCTATTTAGGTTTAAGAAAATACGTAATTCGAAAATTGAAAAACAGTGCCGTCCCGGCATCCACAACGTTCCGTGCTGCTGCTCTAAAGACCGTGTCCTACCCGTCACCGGTAAATTTGTTCAACGTACTTGTTTTACAATTAAGTAATCTATATAGAAATCCAATTTAGCGGAAGTACATGTCTGTCTACTATATACAGTACTGGTCTGATTTAATAAAATCTTAAACTTGCAGAAGCTATGGTCATGAGGAGAATAAAGATTGAGATGTGTCTCTAATGTCAAAGTAAAAACTGCTACTCTATCGTCGTGGTTGGTATGTGGCGAAACTTGCCGGGTCCTTGGAGTATCGAATAACGGTTTCTTCGCGTTTGCTGACGTCACGGCTTATAACTCGCATTTGAAACCGTTAAACTGTTTATTTAATTCGAAACTATTTGACAAAACTACAATTCTAAATTCATACCTTCATGCCCATTTTCACCCAGCTGTCATATACGGCTCGGTTGCTCCTCTCAGCGCCGACGGGATCACTCGCAGACAGCAGGACGAGGGCTGGAGCGTGGCACAGATTAGTGTGGAACAGTTGGGACGAGCGGATATAATGCACTGTGGCCGTATCATGGAAAGACTTTAGGTGATACCTGGAAATAAATATATGAAAAAACACTTAAAAATCAAAAGACAATACAACTTTGTAAATTTGATGACAAAGTTTAAACTCTTTAACAACGATTTTGTATGAACAATATTATTATATGATATTAAAAAAAAAATGAATTTGTGATGTTTTTATTCTTTACAAATTGGCCTGTTAAATTAATGAATCGTTTCTTTACATCTGCTACAAGTCATTAAATAATAATTATGAATTTTAGTTGAAACATCACTAATTGATAATTAATAGCATCCATTGTATTATTTTGGATCGTGAGACAAGATTAGGTTTAATATCAGAAGTTGATTTGATAGACATTACATAATAAGGGTATTTTAAGGTTATCTTTTATTGTGGGTTTAAAGTCTAAAGACTGTCCAAATCCATGTAACATAAATACAACGATAATCAATTAATAAGATAGTGACGTAACATACTAAAGTCCTTATTTAATTAGGAAATTATTCTTAACTTATAAAAGTTTATTTTTATGTTAATTCATTTTATAAGATAATCTTTTGAAGATCTATCAAAAGAATATTATGAAAGAAAAATTGTGTTTCCAATACGTGTACACACAAAAAGGTTTTTGTGGTATATAGTAATAATAACTGTTATTATCTTTACTAATATATAAAGCTGACGAGTTTGTTATGTGTTGGTTAACATCGCGCTGTGCGGTAGCTAAGATTTATAAAGATGTAGAGGTTTGCAAAAATAAATTTGGATGCCCAAAATAACTGTTCTACGTGGACAAAGTTGTAAAAAGTAATATTGAAAAAAATTGGCATTTTGTATTTACGTAAAAAAAATTTAATTGTCTTCTTTACCAAATAATAAGAAACCCTTAACTTTCTTTCTTTATACCCCTATACTAGTATTTATTTATTACGGCTTTATACACTAGCTGTGCTCGCGACTTTATCCTCGCGGAATAGTTATTTAGTCTTAAAGTACTTAGTATATGTGTAGTAAAACAGTACTCACTCCATATACGCCTTGAGCGTTTTCTGCATTATCTTGTTCTTGGGAAAGACAGCTGCAGGCACGCCAATAGTAATCTCTGTGATGTCAGCAGCAGAATCCCACACTTGGGCCGCCACTCGGTCCAAAACAGGTTGATACCTGTGAAAGCTCCAATAAATTAATATCCAACAAACTACATGAAGTCTTTAGTTTCTGTAAGCGATGTTAGAGACATAAGGTGATACTTTACTATTAAATAAATTAAATGGATTTTGTTTGTTGTTGGAAGTGTTTATCGTACTTCCCCTTACTTCATAAAAAAGGACTCTCTTTGACAAACTTTAAAAGCCTCTTCTGATGACTTTTAATGTTCACAATATGTCTTTCCCACCATAACAGTTACGTCGACCCACAATTTAAAAAATAATAAATATTTAGTTTTTTCAAGGATATAAAATAGTCAGATAACGTTAGTTTTTCTATAAACGTATTTTACTATTTAGACTATAACATCCCTTGATATAATGTCTTTTATATACTAACAGTTCCTTGTTCTTCATAACATGGACGCAAAGTTCACCCCAGATATATCCACCAACTGAGAACCCGTGCACCACCAGCGGCTGCTCGTTTTCGTTCGCTTGCATAAAGCGTAGCAAGTCACCTGCTACTAACTATTTAAAAGAAAGACATAAGAGAACATTAAAATTTAATTTAAAAAACTTAGGTCGAGAAATATTATTAACTTTAAAATTCTCGCTAGTAGTCAGTTTGTTTTACGGGATCGTAGCAATTTACGGTTAATAATCAACGGGTCGTAGGTGCGATCCTCAACGGGTCCAACATTTTTCAATTTACTAAAAAATGTTGTATCCGGAAATCTGGATATTAAATGGGCGGTTGAAATATTTAAATACCATCCGGGTCACGAACCACCGTCCACAGATGAAAAAGCCGTGAAGTTTAATCACGTTTCGGTTTCAGTCTGTGGATTTCCGAATATCCAAAGCCGAAATAGGTTGACAGCGCATCGGGATAAGATGCTATATAGGCTGGGGTATATCTCCTATCTTCAAGTGAACCTCTTGCTTGTCTGTCCTCCGCTATTATAAGAAATAGAGAAAATTGTTGATCTCCTACGTTTTTTATTGTATAGCTATCAATATTGTCTGCTTTAATACTACTGTCGCTCTTACGTGATAGTTCTACCTGATTGAAGATTTTGGTAAAATAATACTTGGTCAACATAATTGTTCACTGACTTGGGAACCTTTAAGAGGCCACATGAGCTGCCATGGAGTACACGAAACGGAGACCACATCGAAACCCTGCTCCAAGTAGAGATTTGCGTATTTCATCACGTGCTTCTGGCGTGCCAGGAGCCAGTTGATCATGATACACGTTGGTCTGTTTAGCTGCTTGTCTAACCTGGAATGTAAGGACACATTTTTAATACACAATAGATCTTAAAAATTTAAAATGCGATAGCCCAATTGGTTAGAGCAACAGCACGGAATGCTGTGGATGCCGCCGCTTCTAGTCCTGCGCGAGTCGTACCTTTTTTCACTTTATAATTGATTTTTAATTTATATAGTGCCATCATGTACAATAACTTGTACAAAATAAAGTTTTCAAACACAAACGATCTTCAACTAAAGAATATCAGAATGCTTAAAGTTTATGTAAAATCACCGAAGAAATTTTGTTACTTTACAGAAATAAAAAAAGAAACTTTTGCATGTTTCTCGCTAATTGTCCTTTTTATTTCATGTGCTTTTTCAGAAGGAGTGTACAATGCCATTTGGTTGCTTATACTGGTTACTAGCTGTGTCAGCGACTTCGTTCGCATAGAATAGTTATTTCGAGCAACAAAATTTGTTTTTGCAATTCTCCCTTCCCCATCTTTATATATTTAAGCTGTAACCCACTACATCGATCGCGTCGTGACTATCTTGCAAGTCACCCTTAAAAGATAGTCATTATTTAAAGAGGAATCATTCTTAGTACATATTTTTTAAGTATCATGAACCGTTTTTGGAGCGTAGGCAACGGAGTTTCGCTGCTCCTATTAGTCGAAGGGCGATGTTTTTTTGTTTGTCCTGGATAAATGTTCTGACACAAAAATATATTTTTTTCAATTTCCAAACAAACAAACTCTTCAGTTTTATATATATTGGTTACGTATATCCATTACGATCTATAAGTTTATTTTTATTGTAAAGCTCAAATTAACGGGGTTTTCTATCGTGAGTCACAACGCAGCAGTAACGATAAATAAAATTTGCCTTTCGGCTTTTTACCCGTCCAGTTGAAAAATTAGACTCATTACTAAGCGCAATGATAAAATATTAATATTCATTATTTTGTAATTTTTTAGGTCGTGATCTACGCGTGATATGTTGTCGTATGGACTTTGCAACTAACGGAATAGTACCGATGCACTTACAAGATATATTGGACATTGTACTTATTCGATCGCCTGCAAGAAGAATGGTTTGTTGGACTGCCTTGAGGTAGCGATGTTTATTTTAATAACTATAAACCTTAGGGTATGTGGTTTCGAGTCCCATCGATTACCCTATTTGTAAATCTGTAGTCGAATTTCTTCTATACTACATTAACAGGTATTTCATTTTAGACGCAGCGTCTGGGAATTGAGAGGATATAGAAATATCAAATTTATTTAAATAAAACACTTTAACGGTTTAAAACGCGATATATTAGTTAAACTTATTTGGAAATGATTTTTAACTTCGGCCCGACGTTTCGGATGCTTTGCAACAGCCGTGGTCACGGGGAGAAAGTGTTTTATTTAAATGTGTACTACTCGCGTAAACTATAGACAGTATTTAATATCAAACTATCAAAATTGGGTCAGTATTTTTCGTTATGTATTGTTGATTGAATTTTGAACTTTAAATGTATTACTTGATAAAGAGATCTTTATCTATATATTTTTTGCCGAGAACAACTGTGTAAAACATCTTTATTTTAAATAAAGTTACTTTTATGACTTTTCATTTACGGAATCGTTCGACAACTTGTGTCGTACTTTTCTTCGCCTCTAAGGCAAATAAGAAAAGAAATTGGACAAATTACCGATGAAGAGATACTTATTATGTAATTAAGTTTTTTATAACGCAAAATCTACCCAATTTTAACAGGCCAATTAACAATATATACATACAAATGACAATGTTCGTAAACAATGCTTGACCCGTGGCCCGTATTGCAACAAGCGCATTGTAATGTTGTTAAGTGGGACAAATGTATTGATTTTCTTTACAGACACTCGTGGTTGAAATGTCTTTCTCTGTCTTAAAAGACGCACAAACACAATTAACTGTACTTTTAAATAGATAGACCTATAATCGTACTCTCTGCGAAGATGTACTTTCGGCCGATACACGCATTGTAACGGGTAAAAACAAGAGAAAGAATCCAAAAGATAAAATGCACGTAGTATTAGCTTATCATCTATAGACTGATCATGGAAGCCAAAACGTAAGGTTAAATTATTATATTTTATATATCTCAAAGTACAACGTTATTATATGATCCTGACATGATCGACCATGATTGACCCGACGGGAGTCTATGTCTGGCTGTTAGATATACCTACCTACGCTTTTATATTTTTCGCAACAACCTAAGTTTAACCTAACTAAAATGAGCTGATCACATTTAAAAGACCTAAGTAGAAATGAAATCTGTATCCATACCTCATGGTCTTAGGGTCCGCTACCAGCTTAACTTTGTCGTTGCTGATATACTGAATGTTCTTGGTGAGGTCCTGCGTGTGCGCATTCCTCTCGCCGCACACCATCATGACAGGTGCGCACGATAACAGCGGACGGATGCGTAACTAAAAAAAAATGATTTAGGTAGAAACACAAGTTTTTGTTTCGAAGATTTATTCGAGGTGGTAGTGGTGACAAGGAAAACGGTAAACATCACAACGAAGTTCAAAGTTTTCTTTGTCAAATAAACTTCGAGCGCTTTTTGTGCTGACTTTTGTGTCTGACTCATAGTAATGAAAAACTATGTTCTATTTTCGTTCAGGAAATAATTATCCGTACGTACTCGTAGTTCTTGTGTCTTATTTGTATAGTAATAACAATTACATTTCTTGTATGTATATATTATTAATTGAGGCCCATTTATAAATCCCAAGAGCCGAGTCTCTTTTTTCGCAGTCTTTCTTGTCAAGAAATCAATGAGAGTGCAGGTCCTTACAGAGATACCTATCTCACATTTTACCAAGGTAAAGTCCACACGTGTAGGAAGAGGTAACCCACTTAATTAACTTCGGACCCAGTGACCAAACGTCGAATCATATTACTTATTTTAACTTCAGATTCCGCATTTACAATACTTAAAAGTTATTTATTTTATATTTAAGCATGACAAGGTACATCCTTTTTAATAAAACACTTTAACGGTTTAAAGCGCGATATATTAGTTAAACTTATTTAAAAATATTTTTTTTACTTCGGCCCGACGTTAATATCATTTTCAAATAAGTTTAACTAATATATCGCGTTTTAAACGGTTAAAGTGTTTTTTTTAATGTGTACTACTCGCGTAAACTATAGACAAGGGTACATCCTGCATTGTTATTTGCAATTCATCAGATCTACAATGGGTATTATTTATTCGTTTATTAAAATTTTCACATTTAGAGTAGGTATTTACCATTCCAATTCTATTTTATAAATTGTATATGTTATTTTCATAATTGAAAGGTGTCCGGTACAACATGACGGAGACACATTTTAAAATTTTGTGGATTTATTAGGTAGGAATGTCAACTATTCAGCTAATACAATTATAGTAAGTAATTTTTAATTGTTTCATGACTGTTAATACGCTTTTCTTATAGCGATGCACTGCGCACGTGAATCTATCCTCCTTGCCAATTGAACGAACATACCTACTCAATACATAGTCTATCTTACGTTACAATGTTGTTAATGCCAGTTACCAAGTACCTCTGTGAATAAATCAAACATCAGGTTATATTATTCTTTGTTTTATTATAATAGGGTATAATGAGTTTACACATGTACCCCTTATCGAGAAAAAGCCTGCAAAGTTGTGCAACTGAATCTTTTTTTAAACGTTAATGACAATATCTTACACACATTTTGTCGCGATTTAAATTTAATTAACATGTTTACTTTATAACTGCACCTAACTGAGTATAAAAACCAACTTGTACTAGCTCTTTGTGTAGTAGTTGTCTGTAAAATGTCAACATAGATCTTCTGATCTCTTATAACTTCTAATTCGCGTAAAAAGTAACAATGTATGCCAAATAGTCTCTACGACCCAGTGAACCCACCACCACATATAAACATGCCGTCTACTGTCAAGTTTAATGGCGTTTCGGTTTCAATATGTGGTTTGTATAATATCCAAAGGCAAAATAGATCGACAGTGCATCTTGTTTAGATCTTATATAACTCGGGTATTTTACCTACCATCATATGGACCCTATGCTTGTCTGTCCTCCTCTATTATAAATAAAATGAAAGACCATTAGGTACAAAACGTAGCCTTAATCAGAGATAACATAGTTTTCATTAATGAAATGCGTCTGGTGATGTCTATCAATTGTTCGATAACAATTTCACGAAGGTAACGAGTGACAGTCATACGATTTCCAATTACTAAGAGAAAGATAAATTTTAGTATCCGTGTCGCGATTATTATTATTATATACGGCCAGCCTTTTTTGTTCTAACAGTCCAAAACAATACCGGGAATAGAATACATACAACGTACTATTACTTTAAAATTGAATAATCTATGAGTCTATGTATAATCTATGATAACAGATAGGTACACAGCGTAAAATATACTGTCCTTTTTTATAATTAAAAAATAAAAAACTATAAAACTTAAAAATACGCGAATTTACTAATGGTTGAACAAGTTTTTATTTGCTATATTTATGTAAAAAAAATTAGTGACCGGTTCCATACGGTAGAAGTCGAGACGACAACGCAATTCACCAAAACAGAAAGATAAGTCAACAAAGACTGTTCATATTATTCAATGTCAGTATTAAGCTGGTGATATGTGGACTATAAAGATATCGTATTATATAGATTTAATTTAGAGTTGTATTAGGTCACAAACGTGACTAGCGGGCAGCAGCTATACGCACTAAGCACGTGTTTATGTAACTTATCAACGATTCAAGGCCAATACCAATGCAGAAGCACAGTGTGTAAATATACAGTAGAGTGAGTTACTAACTAGTGTTAAATAGGATAAGGGTAAATAATGCAGTCACATCAACAACATCCACCTTTATAATTTTAAGCCTTATGTTTTCTAGATGTTTATATATTTAAAAAATAACATTAAATCAATAAACGAGTTTATTTTTGCCAACGTAATAATAAATATATTTTCTTCTATGTCTGTTATATACTTTTACCTTTATTTGAATGCTACTGTCAAGCTGCTTTTATCTGTCATTGACTGTATATATATATACTTTTAAAGTTTAAAAACTAACAAACTTTAAAAGCCTTATATAGCCATAGTAACAGCATACTTTAATCATTATTAGTAAAAATGTCGACATTTTAAACTCCCAGACCAGAAATATTGCTACTATAAGTGCTAACTCTACTGTTTATTAATACACTGTGGTATGAACGTAATTATATTACTTTGTTGTCCGATGTAGTTGCTACTGCATTTGAGCTATGGTGAAAAGAGACTAGTATATAAATAAGCTTATATTTAGAGAATGTGTAACCTAATAATCTGTATTGTTCATAGTACACACAGATTTCATAGTATGTACAGTATTAATTATAAGAGAACTTATTTATTGGAACCATATTTCGTAGAGTAAATCATTTTTCAATCTAAATTTTAAGATAGTACTTTTAATGTATTTTCATATAAAATTGTATCCTGGCATCAGTATGGGATACTCATGCCTAGTAAGTGCCATCCTTATTATTTTTGAGAAAGATGGTAGATAAGCTCGATGGTATAATAACTTTGATGAAAGGTAAACTGAAGTCTTAAAAAAGTCACCAATAAACTTAAATATTATTATGCTTTAAAGTGTTGATATCATCAAGGATTCTATCATTTGGTATTCTCTATCTAATGTAACTCACTTAGAAGTATGACTAATTTTGTACTTACATTTCCATTATTTCTTACACCAGATTTTCCACTGTTTATTGCTAGAGAAAAGGAAGTCTTGAATAATCCCATTTCTCTGTAACAAATAGATGCAAAGCTCATTTATTAAGGTATCAAAATAACCACTTATATAAACAATTAAATAACTGTTATAATATTTCAAGAATTATATTCTATGCTTAAAAGAATCGGTGATACAATAAAACGGATATGTTCAAATCTAATATCACATTTTAATATATTAAATAGCAAATGCCATTAATTTCAACTCAAAATGTCATCACAATTTAAGTAAATAAGTACTAGAATTGATAATGTATTAACTTTATTGTCACCAGTAAAATTACTGTAATCAATAATCATTGCTAACCTACCCCAATATATGCTGTATACTATGTTGATTTAAATGTAAGCTTTTGATTCTTATTCAATATTGTGATTATTATTTAGGTCAATCATATCATGTACCCTTACAGATGATTGTATATTGATATAACACACATACTTATGTCATATAAATAATAATACATTTGACTTGCAATCCTAAATAAAACCACATGTATTACACCAATAGTCAGGTCAAATATCCAGTCGATCTCGTTAGATCAACGGTTATTAGATAATACAGGCAATGGGTATTAGGAAATCTACGACAATTCGACAAACAAGATACCAGAAAATATAAAATTTACTTACAATGGAGGTACAAGCGTTGTATATCAAAGTTTCTGGAATTTGCAGTTCAGTTTGGTTAAATGGAGCGCTCTGTGAAGTATGAACTATGCAGAGAAATTGATAGACGCACTTTCAAACACTCATTATTACAAATATTCTCATTGATTTTGCATCGCCACTTTGGGACAGTTTAATTTTTAAACACCAATAAAACTGTGTCGACACTACTGCTTCACTCCTAGTTATGGTTAACGGTAGTAGGATGATAAGTATTATTTATTTAAGCCGGAATACACGCGATCAATGCGTGCTCAACAAACGAGCACAAATTGAAATACAAAATGAGTAGGTATTTATTCTTGAAATTCATAAGAGGCTGTCAGTGTCAATTTAAAACAGGTAAACGTTGTCTATCTGAATCTGTCAATTTAGATCGTATCGTACTATATTTATAACTGTATTGTAATTAAACAAAATAGCAGGGTAGCATCAAAATAGGATAGTCTCTAGTCCTGAAAAACCTAAACACATTGTTCTTTTCTGTTTTGATTTTAAAATTAATAAATACTTTGTTCTTTCTTTTTGCTTTAGGAATCGATCAGAATGTAAATGTAATCCCGATTCTGACAATATCAGTTAACGTTGATATGTAGTACAATTTATTAACACTACGTTGCATTCACTTTTACGCCTTAAATTCATTTATTAAAAAATATAATACCTATGAAAAGTGATTATGTTATGTAATATTCAACCTTATGCTATTATTTTCTTGTACTATAAGTCTAATGTCATATGTCATCTAAGTTGTCATAAAACATGTGAGCCGTGTTTATATTTCGCGTTTGATGTTTTAGTAAACTTTAAATATTAACTGTATTGTTTAAAAATGCAAGATACGGATAGAAAAGAGTTTACTGAATTAGGCGTTAAGCCGTGGCTCATCAAGCAATTGGGGACATTAGGTGATAAGTGGTTAGAAGTAAACCCGCACATAGGTTAACTTAGAATTTGACATTATAATTTTGACGAATTGTTTCCATTGTTTTAGGTATACGCTCTCCAACGCCTATCCAGAAAGGCTGCGTTAAGCAGATTCTAGATGGACATGATTGCATTGGCGCAGCAAAGACAGGATCGGGGAAAACATTTGCTTTTGCACTTCCTATTTTACAGCACTTAGCAGAAGACCCATATGGAATATTTGCTTTAGTTTTAACTCCAACACATGAATTAGCTTACCAGGTAAACTAATCATAGAATGATACAAGAGTATTGTAGAAAACAAATAACAATGTTAAAGCAGATTTTGTAAGAGTATAATGTAATTGTATTTTATTCTGTCTTTCTTCAAAACTTACTCAATTTATGCCATACCTAAAGTCTTAGTGAATCTTTTCATTTAAACTATATTTTTATGCACTTTTACTATATTATACTGAAATCTATGTTCAGTGAATTTCTTTGTTAAATGTGACTCTTTTTTCACTTGACTTAAACCATTTACATGTGTTATATTTTATGAAATATATAAAATAACTAATTACAGATAGCTGATCAATTCCTTATACTTGGTCAACCTCTCAAGCTGCGAGTATGTATAGTAACTGGAGGTTCCGATCAGTTAGAGGAATCATTAAAACTAGCCAAGCGTCCACATATAGTTGTGGGTATGCCAGGAAGATTAGCTGACCACATTACTGGTTGTGATACATTTTCTTTGAAGAAAATAAAGTATCTGGTATTGGATGAAGCTGATAGGTATTTACATTTGTATATTTTTTACTATTTGTGGACAATTTCTTTTTATAACTTAAGAATATATTAATACAGCTTTTACAATAGTAATATACCTTAAGAAAATTTTTACTTTTATTAATACAATAACATGAAATCAAATTTGTATGTTTTAATACCCAAGTTAAGTATGTTACTTGTGTGCAACATTTCATAAAAAAAATTTTTACAGGCTTTTCAGTGAGTCATTTGAAGAAGATCTAAAGACGATTTTCAGTGCTGTGAATCCTAAGAGACAGAATTTACTGTTTTCAGCCACAATTACAGATGATGTCAGAGAATCTACTTTATTACCCCTTAACAAAGAGGTTAGTTTTTAATGTACTTGTATACGCCATGGCTAGATTTAAAATATTGTTAGGTCCTAAAGTATGTATGTAGCAGGTTCATAAACCGATGTTATGGCATGATCCACTGCTTTATGGTATGAAACTGCTTACAAATAAACACATTTTATTTGGTAGATTACAAAATAAATCTGTCAAATTAATTTAGAAAATGTAGACAAATAGTTGCTGAAAAATAAATAAATAAATGCTGGAGTATATTGTAAAATGATATGTATATGTTACGGATTGTTTTAGAAACTACTAACTTGGTCAGAAACAGATCACCGATTAACTGTTTCAACGCTCGATCAACGTTACGTCGTATGTCCTGCGTACGCAAGGGATGTATATCTCGTTCAAACTTTACGGAAGTACCGAGATACGAAACCTAGTTCACACGTCATCGTCTTCACTGATACCAAAAAGTGAGTAATAAAGACCAAAAAGAAACACTGTTTCGTGGTGCAAATTTCCCTACTATAGTACATTGCTTTTTGTGTATCCCCAGAGAATGCCAAGTGCTTTCAATGATGTTAAATGCTATAGGCATGGATAATGTTTGTCTGCACGGCTTCATGAGACAGAAAGAGAGAGTATCTGCCCTTACCCAGTTCAGAAGTAACTTAAAGTGTACCTTGATAGCAACAAATGTAGCTGCAAGAGGACTGGATATTCCATCTGTGGATTTAGTTGTAAATCACAAGCTGCCATTGGAACCTAAAGAATATATTCATAGGTGAGTAAATTAAGTACAGCAATTTGTAGGAAGAATTATGAGTTGGTACATCAGTGGTAACATTCATTAATTCTTACATTTAAAAAAAATGTCAACAACATATAATCGAAAGAATATAGTTTAATAAGGAGGAGATTAAATTTAAGCTATAAGGAAGCAATACTGGATGAAAAACAAAGTTTGAACCACACTTTTTTCTTATAGTCATATTTGTTATAAGGTCATATTTGATATGAGTCAAGTTAATAATTAATAGTTATTGCATCGATTTTTATTATCAATCTTTAGCTTTGGACATTTTCATTTACAAGTTAAAGTAACTGAACTCCTATATTGTACTATAATTGAAAGTATATTTTTTGTAGGGTCGGCCGAACGGCGCGTGCGGGACGCAGCGGTCTTGCGATATCCCTTATCACTCCATATGACATCCTGCGTCTCGGCGAAATCGAGGAGAAGATAAACACTAAACTTAGCGAATATAAAATTGATGGTGAGTTTTATTTGTTGCAAACAAAATATAGCATTTATTTGAACTTATAGGAAATGTTGCAAATAAAATTATGACATTGTGATTTTAACTCTCTGCATTAGTAAAATTACAAGAATTTCTTAAAACAGGCACTTATATGCCAGCTATCATTTTACATACATTGTTCAACATAAATATAAAACATTTAAATAAAACACTTTAACGTGTCTCCCCGTGACCACGGCTGCTGCAAAGCATCCGAAACGTCGGGCCGAAGTTAAAAATCATTTCCAAATAAGTTTAACTAATATATCGCGTTTTAAACCGTTAAAGTGTTTTATTTAAATGTGTACTACTCTCGTAAACTATAGACAGTATTTATACATATAAAACTTTAATTTGTTGCACATTTATTAAATATCTTAATTTCTTGTCTTCACTTGATTTTTTGGTTCACTTGATGGTAGGTCAAATACCTCAGCCACATAACATCTAAATAAGTTGCGTTGTCGACCTATTTTGGCCTTGAATAGTCGGTTATCGGTATATTATTTGTTAATAAAACATCATTGCTCATATACAATAAGAACTTGGTAAAATATTTCTTTTTTTTCAGACGATGAAGCAGTGAAAGTGTTTACAACAGTGAGCGTAACACGACGAGAACAAGAGGCTCAGCTCGACAATGAAGAGTTCGAGCAGAGGCGTCGCAATTACAAGATCAAACGCTGGATCATGGCGGGAGTGGACCCCGACGAAATGGAGGAAGGGTAACTATGTTTTATTTGTCCAAACTACCTTAGGGTGACAGAAATTAGTTCCTGTTAATCTATCAAATATTAATTAAATGAAAACTCTGGAGATAACATTATGCAACATTTATATTTTTTTTAATAACTTATAATTTCATCAATAATTGCCAATAAAAAAAAAAAAACATAAAAGTCATATTTTCATCCTTAGGTTGGAAGAAATGCGGCGTAAACGAATAAAAGCTGCAAAGAAAGCCAAACTAGCCAAAATAAAGGACATTCAAGCAAAAATTCAAAAGGAGGAAGAAAAACAGAACGGCGAGGACCGTCTGCAACAAATCGAGACAGAAGATATAGACAAAACAATCAAAGACGGTCTTAAGAAGGTTAACAAAAGTCTAATGAAAAAAGACTCTAGATTTAAAAATATGATTGGGCAAATAAGCAAAATCAAACAGAAAGCTGAAAATGTCGATAAGAACAAACTGAATGCGGTAAATCTATCTAAAAAGAAGAAAAAAATTAAATAAAAATGTCTTATATTAAGTTTTTTTACTCTTACAAGGCGTTAGTTAACTATAATATATTTCAGTGAATAGGACAGGGCGCTTCTACAGGAAGGGTTTTGGAGAAACCGTTACCAACCTTCCTGTAATTGACAGCAACTGTAGGATCATGGGGTTTGAGTGGGTACAGTGCCACCCAGCCTACGGTATTAGTTGACCAAAAGGTCGACAACATACTCGTAATTATTGACAGAAAAACAATTCTGATATTTTTATAAATAATTTATTGTAATATATCGTTTAATTACAAATAAATATAATATAACAGTTATAATACAAAAAAGCGTGGCAAATGATTTGGCACATTTCAGCTAGGTACGTGCCGTGTAACGCTTTAACTTACATCAAATAAAGAAACCTTTTATAAGCCTTTATGGTTGCTACTAATATTAGGAGTTCTAATTTTTGAGAAATCAAGGGAATGACAACACCAATATAGCCTTATCACGATGAGGTTGAGGTGATATAAGCATTTGGTCCTTGGAGCCGGATAATAGCGTCCAAAGTATCTTTATTTTCTTAACCCAACTACCGTAGTTAACTGTTAAACAATGCTTCTTTACTAAAGGCTTACAAAAACGTTTAAACTACAACTTCGTGAAATAAACTATGACAACAATTGTAGTGCAAAGTGCTAATTGATGACAAATATCGCGTTGACTAATACCAAATATAACATGTAACATACATCTATTTATAAAAATTAATACTAGTTCATGAATTATAATCATTTATAAGCACATTGTAATGTATATAATTTTCAAAATTGCTAGCGTTTTATATTTAGTACAGTAAAAAATCTGAAACTAGCAATTCTATGAAATGCATACGATAATCTAAGGCATTAATGGTATTATAAAAAAGAATAGATTTTGACTTCATTTTTACCTTTAAATATTTAAGTTTTCGACATCAATTCGTTTTCAAGTATTTCTATCTGAAAGAATGAGTATCTGTATGTATGTAATTCTTAAAATGTAAATTAAGTAGTGTGTAGTAAGCATATAATTCCGGAATGTCACCGCTATATCAGCGTGGCCGATAAATATATAACACTTTTATATAACTAAAAAAGTAATTTTCTTACATTTCTTACGCAAAAACATTTAGTAATATTGCGTTTCGACGCAGAATAAGTTGTCTTTTAATACAAAGTATTAAATTTAGTACAATGGCAAGTGATAATAATATATTCTGGTCAATATTTTAATCAATGGATAATCATTTCTGGTGAGAAACTGAGTAATGAAAAATGTTGATAAGAAGCAAAATACTAAAACAGTAAAATGTTAAATAAAAAACACTATTAGACGAAATGCCAATTTTTAAGTCAACAAGTAAAATGACTGTTCTGCTGGTAATTTGATTAAATTCACAATGATCGTCAATTACAACATTTTCTTGTTACCTTCTTAACCTGCTCAAACATTTGTTCTTAGTTTATGGAATATAAGGCAAAACCGTCGCTAGCAGTATGGTTAGTGCACGTTAATGTTAGGCATCCTATACACGAAACTATTCAGACATCTGCAGCAGTGAGTTGATGGTTGCCTCTTTGTTACCACGGTTCACCTCAGCTACAGATTTTATCACGTCTTTATCGATGCTTGGGAACATCTCGTATATCTGAAATTAATAATTTGGCGGTTAAAATTAATATTAAAGTTAATAGTGAGTTCCTAATACCTTGTATGTACTGATGGATTATAAATATGCAATAATCTATTATCAGCAAGCACGTCATCAAAACTAATTATTTTGGTGTGTCTCCGTAACAGAGAAAAACAGTCAAGCATGGGGATCACCTGATGATAATATAACATTTAAACAATATGTGCTGTGGACCTATTTTGGCTTGGAGATTCAGAAATCCTAAGGATGGTGGACGGCGCAGAAAGATTTGAGGACGGTGGTTTGTGATCCCGACAGAATTTCTCATCTAATATTTTATATGTTTTTACATACACTCTAAAACTACTGGACAGGTTCAGGAAATAAAACAATATAAAAATGCCAAGTGACTAAGAATAATTTCGCAGTGACTTTTGGTAGATGAATTAGAAACATATCGAAAATGATTCCGCATTTAGTATATAGTAGTTGAAAATTGTACCTGTGCTAGTTGTTCTTCCGTAATAGGCTGAGGTTGTTCCTGCTGCTGTGGCTGTTGCGGTTGCTGCGGATAGTTCTGTGCGTTCCCTGCTGGGTACATAGGCATTGCCGCGTAACCCATTCCCGTACTGGGCACCACCAGTACTGGCGGGAAAGTCGCTACAGCTGCTGGACCCACCTAATATCAGAAGTGGGATTTTTTTGAGTTTTAACCTATAAAGCAAGAGAGACTAACTGAACAGTTTGATGATTTACAAACTTACCGAGTAACTTAGAACGAGATTGATCATTCCTTCAACTCCATCTCCTTGCTTTCCGTTCAAGGGGTACCAGTCTTCGTGGGTTTCTCCCTAAAATAAATAAGAAACACAAAAAAATTAAAATATATATTTTGTTTAATCTCGTAGACAATCACAATAGACAATGTTAGTATACTCACATTAAGAACGGCAGCAGGTATCTGTATGTGTGTCCAAGCGATAAGTTCATCCATTGTGAAGGAACACTCGTCAAATATCTCCAGATAAATGGAGTTCACTCCTGGAGGCAGCAGACTGAAAAAAAAGTAGTTTCATTAAGTAGTTGTAGTTACAATCGTTTTGAATATTGTCTGTGATTTTAAAGACATTACTCGTGCCCCAATATGGCTAACTGTACCGTAGTTAAATTTCTAAAAGACGTTTATGATTACTGTCACCCTAAATATTTTGTTGAGCTATATACTACTATTTTTGGTGCATTCACTGCCGTACTTTGCACATGCCTATAGTTCTCTACTTAATTAATAGGATTTCCGGTGGAAACACTGCTTCTTAGTATTCATTCAGGTTTTGGCTGTAAAATAAAATCTTTAAAAGCGTAGACGTTTACATAAATTCTGATTACTTGTAGTATAGAAACAAAAGCCAAATGCGAACCTCCCCCTTGGTAAAACCGGCTTAAAGTAATAAGTTTAATCTTTTATTTCTCTTTAAAAATTTTAAAATCATTGAGATCGAGGATTGAGGCGGTCTTGTCATTAAAGAAATCATTCAGACAATAATACGCCTTTTGAGACAATCTAAATTGTATAACTTTTTAAAATTAACGATAAAAGGATTAGCAGCTACGCCACGTTGGCCTACACAAACTTCAATTAATTTTTCCTTATACATTTTGTTTAGTTTATTTTCTCAAATTAAGTTTTTCTTTTAATAAATGTGTAATTTTTTATGTATGTTGTACTAAATATAACTAAAATACCTTTGAACAGTAATGATTTATGCACTTAAGCTATATAATACTAGTCTCACAAGACCAGTCTGGTAGGAAGTCATTAAGACGTAGAAGCCAACAAAATCACCCGTTTATCATATTAATAACACTTGGAAAAATAAGAGAAAGTACGCCTCATTGTCAATCCTCTTTAGCATTTCTTAATATCATTACACCGTGACGTCTTTCTAGTCTCATACAAGTTCATTAAAAATGTATTAATGATAGGCTACACCATTAAGATAAATTAGTTAATTATAATATTATTGCTGCCATTAACTTGTGCTTGAAAAGTTGTTTTCAACATACCATATGCAAAGATAAAGTTTTTATTGAACATATTGGACCCGAAGACCGAACCCACGACCCGTCGATTATTAGCAGTTTATGCTACCATTAGACCAACGAGTCCGTTCATTATCATTAATTCATTAGATACATTTATATAACTATTTTAGCGCACTAATAAAAACAAACGAATAGCAAATGTATTGCACTGCAAGCGAAACATATGCATGCAATGTGTCGCATATAAATTGTCATATTCAAAGAATTTTATATTAAACTACGAAAGAATTTAGGGCTAGAATTTTCGCTAGAGGGGAAATGTAATGTTTCCTATTAGTTAAATATGCTAGGCATTTCATAAACTGCTAATATAAACGTTTTATAGTAACATATTTTTACCACGAAGGCTCGGCCGGCTTTCTGTTGAATCTATACTAATATGTATAAAGCTGTGTTTGTTTGTTAGAACGCGCTAATCTCAGGAACTACGGATTCGAATATGTTTAAATATGCTATAAAACATCGCGCTGTCACTGTCAGAAGCGAAGATACAGCGGGAAGTGTGAACAAAACGGGGGAAATTTTTCTGTGGGTTTCAGATGCGTTCACTGTGAAAACGGTTCAAGATTAACTCGCAAGAACGATGGGACGCGACCGATGTCGTATGACCGGATGACCGGGCAGATTATAAAGATGTAAAGGTTTGCAAAAACAAATTTGATTGCTATAAATATCTATTCTACGCCAACGGAGTCGCTGACACAGCTAGTTAGATTCAAAACCGAAAACTATTCGAGTGCCGATCAATTAAATGTTTATTTGATCACCTTAAGACAAAATATACTTTTTTACTGTCTGTAGTTTACGCGGCCACTTAACTTACACTTATAAAACACTTTTAACGGATAGAAAGAGAAATATATTCGTTAAATAATGTATTTTTTATGTATTTAAGCTGAAAACAATCTTTTATTTAAATACATACTTGTTTTTGCTATTGGCACTATTACACAACAAAAATAATAATGTTGGTTTTTTCACTGCGTCGTCGACGTCCTTTTAAAATATTCGTTACGTCTCTATAGCTCATAAACTCAAGTTAGCAATCGACCTAAGACTTTAATGTATATTTGAAACTTATCCTTTTATTTACAGAGTGCTATCCGGTCATTTGTTGATTCTACCAACTTGTTTGTTTGCCATAAAATATTTTTTTAACTTTGTACGTTTTGATCGTAGAATTCTTTCATATATTACTTGACGTCTTTTGCAACATTTGATAGCTTTAAAAAGCACAATTTGCATACACTTCAGTGATCTTGTGGTTAGCATATTGTTTTGCATGAATGCGCTAGTGTTTGGATCCCAGGGTAGCATAAAGTATTATAGATAGTTACGTTTAGTATTGCATAACTTTATATGTTACCAATGTAAATTAATTCATACAAAACAATTTAAAAAAGTATAACTTTGGTTTCGTTTTGATTGTATATAAATTATGTATTTACATTCTATAAAGTTTTTAAAAATTGTAAAATACTGCCTGTAGTTTATTTGTGCACATTTAAATAGAATACTTTAACGGTTTAAAACGCGAAATATAGTTAAAAGCTGCTAAGTTGCTGCAAAGCATCCGAAACGTCAGGCTGTAGATAAAAATAATTGAAATCCAGTTTAACTAATATATTTCGCGTTTAAGTGATTTTATTTAAATTACATTTTTTGTCAGTACTTTCCGTGTCTGGCACACATTAAAATAAAACACTATTACTCAGATGTTTTGGGTCGTTCGGCGTAACCAAAAATATATTGTAAACCGTTAAAAGTATGTAGTTTACAAGTTTTTTCTAGTTATTACGCGATATGAGCTGTTGTTTGAGCCGATAGTAATTAAAATAGAATATTGCCACTCGATAGCTTGTAAACCTTAACACAATAATTGCATGCATCTGCTAGAACGTAAACAAAGTCAGGGACAACACAATGACGTAAAAACATTTAAAACTAGTTTGATACCTTTATTTTTTGTCAACCCATCTGAACAATAATAAAATGTATAATGTATTTATATCCAAACTAGTACTTAAATCAATAATTTGTAAAAGGAGAGATTTTTAACACATTTGGCATTTTATAAACTTTATTATTTTTTATGTTATTGCACATTATAATAGATTTTTAATTTACAGAGTTGTTTTTTGTGAGGTTTTCCTAGTATATTTTTATTCTACGATTGCATAAAAATACGTACCAGTGTATCATCTTATTCCACTTGGGGGTCTTCCCACCGCTGGGATCAGTCTGCGTCTCGTATATACAGTGTCCCACGCGAAGTCGAACATATGGATCCATACGGGTTAGGCCTAAGGAAATTAATAACAGAAATTTGAATTTAAGTGCTGGGTTACATTTTTCTTTTTATCAAAGCATAGAATAAATTTTATATAATAAACTAGCTATTGCCAGTGGTTTTGTTCGCACAACATTCGTAGTAACACGGTTTTGCTATAAAATATAAATAAAATACTTTCACATTTATAATATACATTTTTTAGCTATGGCTTTAGCTAAAGTAAAAACATATTGAAATGGATAATACATTTTATTTTTTCACTATGTTTAAAACTAACCATAGTTCTTGACAAGTTTAGCTTGGACTATGGTGACGCTGAGACGTGCTGTGAGTGGTGGTCCTGCAGTTGGCATCTGAAATAGACTTCTTGTTATACTTAAAACAATTCCCAAGTTCATTATAAATCTATAATTACATAAACATTATTATTTTTTATATCAAAATGAACAGAGGTTTTATGGAAACTAAATTAAACTATTACCTAACAAGGCACATTATTTTGAATACAGTACCAAACTCAATTTTTAATACTGTAGTGTCAATGGACATACGGAACACCAAAATTTGACATTTTGCTAATATAAAGAGATCAGAAATACTTACTGTTGCCCCACACAATTGTTGTTGCAGGGCTAATGCAGCTTGGTAGTCTGCATCTACCGAATCAGGTGGTCCATCTGAATCTGCTCTTAAGAAACCTGCTGGAAGTGGCCCAAGTAGCACCTAAAGGACATTAACTATATTCCTCAAATATTCTATAAAACTTACTCTTAATCTACCTATATCTAATAAGTGTTAACAATTATTGTTCAAATGAGAAATTCAGATCTGACTACTAAGACTAATTTGTGGTAGAGTGGGTTTAGGATGGTTTTATCTAGTTTAAAATACTTTTTACAGTGATAATTAAATTTACTTAGCTACTGCAAAATTTGTACAACTTCAGTCCAATGTTACAAAAAATATACACATATATATATTACATATATGTATATTAATAAATCACAATATTGTGCAATTTAATTTTTTTGTTAAAAATTTAACTATTTAATATAACAATATAGTAAAGTGAATATGTATATAAAATATAATTTTATGTATACATACTCTATTTTACAAAGTCCGCACAACCAAAAGAAAATAGCATTTTTACCATAATATAAGATATCGTATTTACGAAGTAAACAAAAGGAATGTTCAATGTTTAGCATTCATACTTACTAGAAAAATTAAAATCGACAAACATTTTTTTTTACCTCAAAATGTACATAAATTACGTATTTATTATGTACCGCAGTTTTTATTATTGTTTTAGACTTCGTGATATACATAACCGGTTCAATAAATATAAACAAGGCTAGACTATATTGCGCGATAACGATAAGTAAATGTTCTCGTCTTCCTAAAAAATGATTCATGTAAGAACAAAAAACCCATACATCATTTTCACTTACCCGTCGTCGGCGTTCCTCCGTTGTATCGTTAGTTGTAGCAGCCATATTACAAAACTCTTATTACGCAAAAATACCCAAGTCTCACCGGAATAAAATTCGATTTATGTAGAAAACAAAGTGAAACACACTTTGTTTACGCAAAACGGAGAAAATCTGCGAAATGAATTAATGTTAAATGGCACAAGATGTCAACATCAAAAAAATCCAGTTTGATAATATCAATTTGACAATTGACATTGAAAATGACCGTGACATCTTACGGTCTTCAAACTGAGGAGTATAAATGAGCCAAAATGAACTGTCAACGTCATTATCGTTCATGAGATTTTGTCTCTTTAATGTTTTTGTGAAAAAATATAAACATTTATGCTCTCTTTGATAATTTAAGTTTTAATTAATAATGTACGATAATGAAAGCTGTGATACAAATTAAAACTACGTTATAGTTATTGTGGCAAACCGTCTTTGGAGTATCCAAGGAGGCGTATCGATTGGATGTGATAATTTGCTGTTTACAACGATGGATATCGTACAAACACCAAAGGTGGGTCTATAAATGTCTACTTAGTAAATCTCTTAGCTCAAAAAATTCCACGGCTTTAGATGACAGCATTTCAAATACTGTGCTCAACAAACATTTCAATTGTGTAAAATATTTGACCTTTGTAATGTGTAACCTTTTTTTCTACTTATCTTTAGAATTCACGTTTTTTATGGTCTATACAGTGATTGTTAGTAAGTCAAAAGTCTTGCTTTGACTGAAACTATTGACTGCATAACCCTATCCTTGGTTATTTAAGGAACTCATATCAGTATAACTAAGTTGTGAAAAGAGAGAAATTTTAGCTACATCCCTCTTAAATCCCTCTTGATTATACCTATAGAATCTAAAGTAATGTAATGTGATTTTTCTACTTAGTGTAAAAGTATTCAGCCAGACATGTTCTCATTATGACTTGTTTGAATAAATAAAGTTTCAATAATAATTAAAATATTTTTAATAAAGTTACTAATTCACTAGCTATATAAACGAAAAATATTTAAATAGATATAAGTGTTAAATAAATTATGCAAGCAAGAAAATTAATCATATGTACCAACTAGTTATGTATACAATTTCGTATAATTAGCCAAATTACTTTTTTAATTTGCTAAACGTAAATTTTCTTTGTTTTCATACAACTTTGGAGAGAGGAAAAAAATCAGCGAAAAAACACGTCTACTGATTTTTTTAAATTCATATTTTGGCGTTAATTTTTTCAACGAAAATCAGTCACATAACAAAACAACGTTTCCGCGCATGCTCTATCCAGTGACCTTTGACATTCGAGTCGCGATTTTAGACCTCGGAAATAAGGCGTCATTTTGTTTGGCGGACGGCGAAGGCTTTGAAGGATGTTACGGGCTCCCGAAGCGGTGTCTATTTTGAGCAGTCTTGTTTGTACCCTTCGCTACTAGACGCGCATTTCGCGAATGCGGTTTAAGCACCGCGTAATTATGATATTCGTGAGAGATTCGATTTTTAAATTCCTATTTTAAAGTGTAATACGTGATTAAATGTTTTCGGAATCCATAAAATTTTGTGTAATTCGAGATTAAAAATTAAAATGGCTTTTTCATTAACACCGATAAACATGTTAGGTGAGTTAGGCCGGTTTGCTAACTGGCTGAAGGGGGATTGCGTTGCTTCTGAAGAGTTTGATGGGCTATCTGTTACGGAGAAGGTACGTTTTAAATTTTATTTTATGCTCGCTGCACTTTCAACTTTGTTTGCGCGTAAGAGAAACATTAAGCTGACTAAATTTTCACTCGCATTGGATTTCATAAAAAAAGTCTATATGTCGCGACAAACTTAAAAAGAACCAATTTTGTAATTCCCCTCATATCGCTCACTCAACATTTATGATTTATAATTGTAAATTAACAAAAAATGGGCCTCGTTTTTTTTATATTAGAACATTCCTTTCATATCTTATATTTCCTAAAGTTGCTTCTGTAGCGATTTAGTTAGCTAAGGTCAAGGCCTGGATTCTTATCGGCCTAGCAAATCCATTGGATGTAACGATTTATAGCTGGCTGAGCTATTCGACATTTAAAAGCCTTACATAAAAAGCTTTTGTTGCGAAAATAAGATCACAAAATCAATGTCTGTAAAAATTTTTAAGTAGTTTTATACAATTAGTTCTCATTAAAAATCGGAGAACGTACAGTCTGATCAATTGTGAATATAAGCACATTCTTCCTTTTTCATATTCGATATTTAGACTCTCGATATATTATCCTTTTTATTTTTACCGTATTTTAAGTACTTTGTTAAAAATATATTAATTTACCTCAAATTACCTCAAAAAAAAAACCTACAAGCCGGAAATAAATCTTCAAGTTTATAATGAAAAATGTTGAGCCTATGTAAAAAATCACTCGAAAACTAAAGCTGACACAGATTGAGCGGAGTTGTCGTGCTCTCATTTCCTTTTTCCTTGGGGTGAAATAAACTTCCGAGCCACAGAAAACTTACTAACAGTCAGGCCATTGCGTATACTACTGCATAAGAGTTTTGTATTTTTTCTTTTGATTTTAATATAAAATAGGCGCGCTGTTACAAAAGAATCTGATATGTTTTGTTTTTTTTTTCCAAGTTTTAAAATGAAACTTTTTTTTTCGCTTACTTATCTTCAGTTAGTCGATAAAGCAACAATGACCTATATATCAATATACAAGTAAAACTACCTAAACTACAAAATTTGTAAAAAAATACGATTATAAGAGTAATACTAATCCTCTATATTCCTAAGTGTAAAATGGCGTGTTTTTACTGCAATCTTATCGATTCTCGTCATCTTTGTCTTATGTTCAGCAACTTCTGACACTTACGTGAAACCAAGCGTGGGAGTGTAGTGCTTTCCACTATGCGTTTCGTGTTCTGTGTCAAGGGACTCTTGAAATTTTGAGTGGATCTACGCCACCAGTTTGGCTCTCGTTACATTTTAATTGCGTAATTGCGACTGTTAATTAAAGTATGTCTTTATAAATGTATATATAGACTACGGAGAGAAAAAATCGGATACTAAGCTTTTAATAAAGAAAATTACAATGCCCGTATTCGAATTAAATTAAATAAGATTTTTCATTTAAGAGATTCTTTTGTTCAGCCGTCTGCGAATCTTTTATTATTTTCAATTAATCTCTGTTATGAGTCACTCTGTTACATGTCTGTTGCCGATAAAAGAAATACCGTTTTCACCATTTACAAATGTCTGCAAAATAATTTTGTGAAATGTCTATTATGTGTACAGCTAGAAAATGTAACGAGAAAATCTATCTGACCACTCCAAGGAGTTTTTATATTTTCAATATCTAAATACTGTCTATAAGGTAGGTCCCAATAAGGCCTGTCGGGTAATAAGGCCTAATACTAGAAACATAACTTTGAGTAGACCCCGCCAGCTGACTTCGCAGTCATAGGTAGCTAACAACCTAAGATGGTGCCCCAAACATGTCGCGACTCGCAGGCCCGCATGGTTCCGAGAGTGTGGGGTCACTAATCGTGGCCGGCGGACGCATATCTCGAATAATAATATGACGGTCGAACAAATCGTAAATATTTTATGAAAAAAAAAAATTTTCTACGTTATTTTGCAGTTTTACATCATTTTAGTTAATGTTTTGAAGACCTGTGCTGTACAAAAAATTTAAATTACACAAATCATTTTATTTTAAAAATTTCTTGACAACTGGTCTGGTTAATAAGGCCTATGAAAATCGACCCTAGGCCTTATTACCCTCCTTAAAGTATTATCAAGTGATTACATAATTTAGGTCTTTAGAACTACTATTACAGAAATTAAACACCAGCTCCTTTTCAGACGTTGTCGATGTAGAAAATTTACCACCTCGCACTCCATAAGGCAAATGGCTCCCGAAGCCTCAGTCATCGACCCGAGGCAAGAACAACAAATATCATACCAAAAAATCCTCCAACATGTTTTACAGAATGGTTTAAGGTAGATCCAGCTCTGATGATGAGGATAATGTACCCTTCGCTCAAGTAAAAAGAACATCATTTAAGCAACTCTTGCCTACACCAGCTAAAAATACAGAAAAGACACCAACAGTCAGAATAAAGGCCATCAATTACAGAGGAATACCAGTTAGCAAAGAGCTGTCTAATAAGAACAACATTGTCACGCATGCCACCAGACCAAGATACTCTATGAGGATGTGTCACAAATGCAGCAAGTGGTACCACGAGGAGTGCGTGGGTTTGTCAGAGGATGATTTTGAGTCGTCGATATGTTGAGTGTCAGATTGTTCCTAATTTGAAAAATAATGTTATTTTTAAGCCTTTACTGTGTGATTATCGCAATTCAATATTTTATTGATCTCAAATACTAAATATAAGAAGTTTATTTCGTTTATTTTTGAAGTTTAAAGTCTTAGGCCTTATTATACTACCATAGTTTAATAAGGCCTAAGTACAGTGTTTTTTAAAAGCAGTAATTAAAACTATAATTATAGCATAGGTTGCTGTTTTCCGTTTTTATTTGATAGTTATTAATATAAAAGTTTAAATTACATTAAAATTTGTTGATTTGTTTTAACAGTTTTTGATTTATTTCAATTCCTGCTTAGCTAGGCCTTATTCGCCGCACCTACCTTAGTTGTTTACGTGAGAAGTACACATTTAAATAAAACATTTTAACGGTTTAAAACGCGATATATTAGTCTCCCCATGACCACGGCTGCTGCAAAGCATCCGAAACGTCGGGCCGAAGTTAAAAATCATTTTCAAATAAGTTTAACTAATATATCGCGTTTTAAACCGTTAAAGTGTTTTATTTAAATTTTCAATATCTATATATTATTCTGTATTTCTAATTATTTCTTTTTTTTGTGTTAGTTAATTCAATAATTTGTGTTTATATTATTGCCATGTTTGTCTGTGCACCATTTTACCCACTCAATGCCTTTTAAAAAGCAGTGCCTTAATAAAGAGTGTTTAATTAAAACAGATATATAATTATCCAGGTTATAGACTCGGTAGTTTAACAAGCTAAATACAAGAAAAACATACTGAATGTTGTCGAAGAAGTAACAGAGTATGTTCTGCAACGAATTTCGCACCTAACAGAAGGAATCAATTATTTATGTTTTATGTCGAAATCGCCCTTATTAATTCGTCCCTAACACGCTCTTAATGACTTTTACCTCGATACATTATTTATAAGCTGAAAATGTATTTAATAGCGATGTGCTCATCTCCTTGTTCGAATATTCTCGGTAATTTTGAGAAAAGGAATAAAATCCTAAATATACCTCTGTTTACTGCTTACGTGACCTGATAGTTTGATATTTTGGCTTGTCTTAAAGCATCGCGTTAAGCCCGTGAGATCTTGATTTTGAATCACGGGGAGACATTATAGGTAAATTAATTTCGTCGGGCACATACAGAGTCTTTCTTGTCCTATTTTGTAAGTGTGTTTGTAAAGAATAGCATAGTTCTTGCGCTCCTTTAGGAAACATATTAATGTTGTAAAAATTGTAATGCCTTTTTTTAATCTTCATCTTACTACTAAATAGTGTGTACCACTAATTGGAAACGTATATACAAGCGTTAAATTTCAATAAAGCTAAAACAAACATCGTAATACGTTTTCAATCTAATTAACAAAGATATTTCAAATATTGAGTTACAATCCGTGGATATTGAATCATGATATAAAGACGTGCGTACGCTAGAATATTTTAATCGAACAAAAACCATTTTGGTGTATTCAAATTAATATTTCTTGAATCCTTTAGTTTCTATTTAGAACTAGTCTAGCAATAGATAGTGCTACACTGGTTTTTACGTGAAGTCAATTTTTTTTTGCATCGCGTTCGTAGTAATAACTAAAAAAAACAAAATCAAAACACACAGGCTTCATTGCAAATTACGTAAATATGATACACCAATACCACCTACAGCTATAGCTATGCAAAACGCGAAACCCTAACCGTAGGGTGCGTGTATTTTTTTTCTATGATAGAGGAGAACAGATCAGCACGAGGTTCACTTGATGGTATGTGAAACGAACCAGCCGTATAACATCTAAACAAGATGCGCTCTCGACCTATTTTAGCTCTGGACATTCAGAAATCCACAGGCTGAAACCAAACAGTAATTAAACATGACATCTTTTTCATCTGTGGGCGGTGGTTCATGTCACCCACTTAATATCCCGTCTTCCACACGAAGTCCAACATGTTTCAGGAAATTATTAATTGATTAGAAAAATGTTAGATACGGTGGGGATTAAAACCACGACCCGTCGATTATTAGCCACGCTTTGCTAACATTTCTCCAACAATCCTGTCAAATGTTTTAATATTTTAATTTTAAAGGTCTACAAAACTAAGATTTAATTTTTACAGACATGGTTTAAATAGCACAATACAAAATACGATAACATAAAGTAACAGAACTGTAAGGAGTATCGCATGTTTTTCAAAAGTCCGTTAAAATACGACACAGCTTGGTTTTGGTCGTTGGTTAAGTTCTCTGTAGACGTACCTTTAGGTAAAATTCATTTCGATCGGCATCTCGTGCTATCAGTAAACAATTCAGTGACAGTTATTTGAAGTAATCGCTTTATCCGATCCACTGCGTGCTCAGTCGACTCTAACTTGAGTGTCAGATCTGCCACAGTCTAAATAGTATAGAGGTTTTATTTTTAACTTTGATCAGTGTACTGTAAAGAAAATTTAATTATAATTTGTAGAGGCCTTTGCGAGAAAGCAAGCCTCAGCTTTATATTATAGAAAGAGACCGCGGGGGACTTAAAAAAACGGGGAAAATTATTCATCTTTGTCTAAAAATCAAATCAAAATATCCGTGTCACTATATATGTATATCTTTTAAGATAGCACTAACACTAGCATAAGTAACAACATAAATTTATAAACATGAAGAGGAGGTTTACACAAAGAAACATTGATGCTCAAAATAACTATTCTACGCGGACGAAGTTACCGACACAGCTGGTATAAATTAAGTCTCATGCATTATGTATTATAAAACCTATCTAGCTAGATATTGTACTAACACAACGCGTGAAAAAATAAAATCTTTCGAGTGTTACTACATTTATATACATATACATATTTATACGTTTCACACTTACAGTTGATTTTATTACGGCTAGAGATTGTAGATAATCAAGTTATTGCGTGCTATTGAGGGTAATTATATAAACTCCAGTTGATATGTGATTTATAAAAATAACATATTTCAAGACCTACCATAATGTATAAGTAATTTATCAGTCGCTTTCTCTACGAACGTGCTACATCACTGCTACATGCTACGAAATTCACTATACAAAACTTGAACTAGAAAATGATTTTTGGTTACATTGCACCATGCGTAAAACTTGATTTACCAAAACGGTGATTCATTAAAAAAACAATACATAAAATATAAATTAATAGTCAAAATTGGTTCGTGCAACAGACCGCTCTCGACGCCGGTTCAAGTCCGGCCCGTGTCGTAAATTCTTTCAATTAATAATCGATTTTTAATATAAGTTATGTTAACTATACGAAAACGTTGAATAACCATTTCTTTATAGCAGAACCATTATAACCGAGTTGTGGTTAGTAAAGGCTGATAATTCTAACCTTTTAACGATAATTTTATTAGTAATAACAAGTTAGAATCAAGAGTTTGTAGAGGAAATTAAATTACTTATATCCTCTATGTTCTTTCATTCTATTTGACATGTAATGGTCATGCATGTAATCCTACAGAGAAATACTTGCTTTCAAAGTATATAGTACGTGAGTACTCTACGAAATTCGTAGCACAAGTTCAGGTGTCTACGAAGGTATGCTACGCTGGCGTAGCTGCTATTCCATGAAGTTCAATATCGTCGCATATTTTCAGCGGGACATACCAAATGGCATGTTCTATAAAAATTATTGGTTACTAAAAGTATTAGTACTTTCATAGAATATAAAATACATACATATATTAGTTGCTCAAGTGAGACAGACAGACGAAAGTTAAATGTTTTCTTATACCCTCAGTCTAGGGTTTATACAAAGTATAAGAATAAAAATGTTTTTATTTTATTTGAATTTTCACACAAGTCGAATATCACATAAGGAGCAATGACATAATAAAATATTTTTTTATATACCTATAACCATCTTTTGTTAGCAATCATTTATGATATTCATTTTAAAAGTTCTTAAACATTAAATGTTGTTTCTTTACAGGTGGGTTAGGTAAGCTGTAAAATATTAAGTAGATACCGAAAAGCAAATTTATCAACTAAGCTTAACTTCATGTATTATATAAATATGTAACAAGAAAAGAGCGGATGTGAAAATTATAAGCCAATACTCCAATTTTATCTATTAAAAAAATGCAGACCTGAGAAGTATAATTAAGAAAAGTCACGTGCACATTTCTGTGTGGCTCCTTTTATTGGTTTCTGCGGAAGGAATATTCAACCTTGGTTATTGACTACGTGATAACGTACGCGGCATCTGTACTAATGTTATATAGCCGAAGAGTTTTGTTTTGACGTTTGACCAACTGATCCAGTTAGGTAGCTCATTTATAGTGGAAGGCAATATATGATATAACCCTTATCTCTTATTGAGCCAGCTAGCTAAGAGAAATTTTGCGAAATAGGTAAAAATGGTCTCGTTTGAGCTATGCACGCGGTAACGAATATTTCCAACGAAATCGGAATCATTTCAAAGGCATGAAAAATGCAACCGGTACGGTTAGCTACCGTTTAGATGAGATACTGCCTGTACCTCGAAATATTACCCCAGGAAAACCGAAAAATGCCTCGGTTATCGAGGGCACAAGGGCCTAATAAAACTAGCCTGAAAATAAAATCGATAAAAACGAGAACTAGGCTTGGCCTCGCTAGCTGATGATATACTCACCAAGTTTAGCCTTAAACAACATAATACGTCCTCAGTACTTAAATATTTTACTCGATGTCTAATTGGGCTGCCTCCTAAAACAATAAGTTGCTTATTTACAAACAAAAACAAATAAGAAAAAGAGATGTCCTTGTTAAGTTAACCAAGCCGTTTGTTATATATACCCGTCGTATTACGCTGTAACAAATATATGGTTGCTGTCATTTCACAATGTTACAGCCTCTCGTTATAATAATGCCTGAAAGAAGGCTATTGTTTATTCTTCGTACACGTCATGTAGTGGAGCGTACACAAGGGTGGTTCGCGTTTGTTCGAGAAATATTTATTCCATTAGAACAATGTAATAATGTTTGTATC